TTCCAATTCTTAATGATGATTAACACCTAAATTTCATTTTTCCTTTGAGCTCAAACCTGCATCAAATTGATAGGTAAAATATATTTGTACATCCGAAAATTGACAATTATGTGGGACAAATTAAGTAAATACAATTCCAGTTTATGAATAGAACTCAGCTGAAGTAGGATGAGATAAAGTTGTCCCAAACTCAAACCAAATATCTACTTTATATGACAAGCTCACAGCTAATTGACAATGACCATGTGGCCCATCCAAGTTGCACCCTTGGACATAGAAAATTTGAAGGAAATAATAAATTAAGAGAAAAGAAAAAAAACAAAGATGCATATGGGTCACCTAGAATGTGCGTTGGTCTGGAGGCTAAGAAGACAACACATACCTCGTCTTCACGCAACAATGTGAAGCAACAACCAGTTTGGCCTGCTCTTGCTGTCCGACCTGCTCGATGTATATATGTCTTTATGTATGCAGGCATATCATAATTAATGACATTCCTCACTCCTTCAACATCCATTCCACGAGTCATTGCATCAGATGAAACAAGTACTTGAATATCTCCTTTCCGGAATGCCTTCAGTGTCTTGCTGCCGTGAGAAAGGTCATTGTCACAATCTTGTCAACAGTTTATAAATAACCTAATAACCATATGCTGTGACAAGTTACAGCCATCTACTGGGAATGAAAATATCGAAGCTAGGACATGTTTCTTAGATGCAGATAAGAAATGTTTATATGGATAGCAATACTTAGCAAGGAGAACTAGCCTTAGGCTCTTGGCCTATGAGAGTCGGCATGAAAAAAGAGTAGTCTCCTCCTTTGAGGCTCAAGTAAATTTCTTCATGGAAGGTGATTTGACATTCAGGACAGTAGCTTGTGCCACACAAACCATGGATTGAACTGACCCTAAAGTTTGTTTCTATCACAGTCTAAATCAACACTCTTAAAAATATAGTAATATCATGTTTGTATAAACAAACACAGACACTACACCCAAACAGATTCCAGAATGCCGTTTATCAGATTTATCCCAACTTTAGATGTGTGTCCACATCTTTGTGTTATTTGTAGAGAACACAACCTAACTACATCAGGACACTCCTAATTTGTAGAGAGACAGAGACTGCTGTTTATCGTATCCCTTAAATTTACATACATACGACAAGTGAAAGCCCAGAAATTACCTTCGTACAGATTGCCGTTGAAGGCCTGAATACTCCTTGGTCTTGAAAGGCAAATTATCAAAAGAGTTCAATAAGGTGCATAGACGATGAGTTGACTCCACAGATGATGTGAAAACGATGCACTTCTCTTCTCCTAAGCTTTGCAAGAGCGCAACCAAATACAGTGGTTTGTATTTTGATTCGCAAAACTGTAGACAAGAAATGGAATATAAAATTAGGAGAGGGCACTGAGTTCTATTTAGACATGTATTTTAGAATTTATAAAAATTTAATGCCTAGATTTTCTATTTTAGTTACGCTACCGAAAGAAACTAAATCAATCTAGTGTAAAATCAGAACTCAACTACCATATAGAAAGATATTCTTACCCTTGCCATCATCCCACACTTGCAAGGAAAACACAACTAGGGTTTGCAAAGTACCATTTTAGATAGAGGCTTAGACATTTGTCATCCCATCAAATAGGTCACTAATCTATTTATCCTAAATACTAAATAGGTAAAAAGCATTATTACTTCCGTGCATAACCGAAACAGTGCCATTCTCACAAGGACTCGTGTTTGCCAATAGAGTTATGATGAAATACCAGTTTATAGGATTGTAGTTTTTCTGGAAGCTGATAACGCTTTTGACCAGTCGTCAAGAATAAAGGATGATGCAGATCAAGCTGAGAAAGCTTGCTTGGATCCTGGGTTAGTGTGGCAGAAAGAACCATTTTCACAAGCCTGGGGTAAGGTTTACCCTTAAACCCCCTCTCAAGACCACTGCAACAAATTTGAGATAACATTAAAAAACATGGCAAATGTCATAACTATAGTTTCATTTATGAAAGAGCAGTACCATTGCTCAATTATGTGTCAGTACTGTCAGTATGAAACCATGCTTGTCACAAGCCACAAGACAAAGATGCAGTTCTGTAACATAAACATTTCCAAGGGAAGAGAAAATGCACATAGAACTCACGATCTCCTTATGGTTTTCAAGGAAAATGGGGACGGTAGAAAAGTTTGAGCACAAGGAAGGAAACTTTCATCTTTAGCACGAGTGATTTGAAGCACAGTGGGTAGCCAAGACTGGTATGCCTCCCTGAGCAATCGATCTGTTTCATCAACAACCTATAAACCATCATATGCTTTGCCTTATAAGAGATTATGAAAAAGTTGTTTCAACTCACATCAAACATATACATATTCGGAAACCATTTTTTAAATATAACAGGCCTCATCAAAGGTTTCAGTTTGGAAAAAGATATACTGTAGCATAAGAAATATCTGTAATTCCAGTGTCACAACATATGAATGAAAATTGCAGTACCATAATCTCCTACTTACAAGATAACAGAGATGCTCAAGCGTAAATCCTTTAGTGTTATTGATATGGTCCATTAGCCTTCCAGGGGTAGCCACCAATATATCCACCGAGCTTTGTAACTCAGGTAAAAAATCTTCTGGGTCAAAAGAGACACCCAACTGAAGCTTAGGTCTATTGATAAGTTCTGAAATTTCATCAGCTATAGAAGATTGACCAACTGCAAGACCAACAGATAATCCTACAGCAGGTGCAATTGCAGAAAAAACTTCTTTAACCTAATCCAATAACACATGAAAATCATTGATTTAGTTAATATCACACCCAAAGGCCCATACAAAGCTTTCATAACATTAGTTTTTATAAGAAGTCATGAAACCTGCAAGGCTAAATCACGAGTAGGCAACACCACCAGAGCGCGTAGACATTTAACAGAGCGAGTTGACAACATTTGTACAATGGGCAAAGCATAAGCTAAAGTCTTCCCACTTCCAGTTGGAGAATTAATACATAAATCACGCTCAAAAGATCCAGGGCCAATAGTCTCTTGCCAAACTGCAAGCTGAACTGGGAAAAGTGAAGAGATTTCCATGTTCTCCAAAGCCACCTTCAGCCTAATCCACAGTAAAATGAAGTGAGTATTTCTATAACACAAAGTAGAATATGAAATGGAACATTTTGCCAATTGGGTAATTTTCACAAAGCTAATTTTGGTAAACTGGATTGGTTTGGTTACCTGGGGTCAAGGCAAGGAAGGAGAGTAAGAGGGCATTCGTCAAAGGAACTGACATCAATTGGGCTTCGCATCCATGGCAGAACTGGTATGCTCTTTTGTTTATCTTCTTCTGCAGCCATTTTTAACAATTATGAACAGCTTTTGATGCTTGCTTCAAATTTTTAAGAACCAGCTTCAGGGTTTTAGTTTTCTTTGCCTGAACTAAAACCCTTTCATCAATGGCTCCCACTAGGGTTTTAGAAACAAGTTTCAGAGACAGGGACTAGTTGGCCAAAAAAATGTGAGGTAGGGACTAGAATGGGAATTTACATTTGAACTTGAACGAAGCCCAATGCATTAGAGGCCTGGACCAGAAACGCAATGTTAAAAGTTTGGGTTTGACTAAAAACAAAAGGTTGAGGTAGTAGTTTTTCAGGCTTTCAGCCAGCCCAAAATTCATAACCCAATTGGTTTCTTGTCTTCATCAACGGGAAGGATTCGATCTCGTCCAATATCGGAAATAAAAAGGGTAATGATTTCCCCACTCCCTTTTTATCCACCAATATCGGAAATAAAAATTATCACTAAACTAAGAACTAGTTTATAACAAGAGAGAGAATAAAACGGAAGTAAGGGACTAAAGGGAAACTCAATGCCGAAAAGGAAGCCCAAAAACGGACATTGTCGCATAATGCATAATAGGTTGTTTCTAGTTTGATCTCATTTTGCGTTGTGTTGTGCCATGTTTGTTTCATGCTTGCGTTATGATGCATTAAATATAATGATCAATCGAAAATTCACATAAAAATAACGCTTGTGTCATCTTCTATATATATAAAGCAAAAGACAGAGAATGGTGAAACATTCAAAATACCAGAAAATACCCTTGGTTATTGCAAATATTAAGAATTAAAATTATTAATTAAATCTATATATATAAACCAAAATGCAGATAATGGTGAAATATTCAAAATACCAAAGAATACCCTTGGTTAATGCAAACATTAAGAATTGAAATTATTAATTAAATGAGGATAATATGGTAAATTCATATTTTTTCATATTAAATAAATTTAAATTGAAAGAAAAATTAGATAATGGATCCTATTTTTATGGAACACAACTACCCATCATCTTTTTAATTTTAAAATAATATATATATTTTTTTTAAAAGCCTCTAGAAGGCGCGGAAGTGTGTGCAAAAAGGGAAGTGATGAATAAAAAATAATGATCAATCAATAATTCACATAAAAGTAATATTAAAATCTTGATATGTTTACTTATTCATTGAACAAACGACAATTAACAAATAACATAATAAAAAAAGAAGTGGATAAGAAGAAAGATGAGGGAAAAAAAATAAAATTTAATTGCTACCATAATTAGTGTTGATATATAATTGAACAAATTGAATTAAAATAGTGAGATTGGTACGCATGATTGAACAAACTAATTTAAAAAATTGAGACCACACATGATTGGCTCTTTATGGCTATTTGTGGAGTCGGTGGAATTTTGTTTATTTGGATTAACCTTTCGTGATTACTACGCTATGTATTTGCAGTGGCTCTTTTAACTGATAGACTTTGTGCTTAAATTATAAATGCAATTTATTTGTGCTTAAATTATAAATGCAATCTATTGTGCTTTTTTATTTTATAAATGCAATCTATTGTGTTTTTTTATTTGGAAAAAAAAAAGGAAAAAAAAAGTGAGACCACGCATGCTATATGGCACATCACAGCCGATACTTTATAAGACCAAAGAGAGATGAAGTAGAGAACATTTGGGCTGCAAAGCAGGGAATTCCAACTTCTCAGCCTCCCGAACCTCCAAAAAGTAAATTATAAAATTTCCTCAGATAGAGCCTTCCTCGTATAGACACGAAGAAACCAATACAAAATCCAAGCCCATCACCTCTCCATCCCCCCAATCATCGCCCAAAATATTCGATACATTCAATTTGAAGCCTGCCATTGTTCCCCATTTCTTACCAAAAACAACAAACGCAAAGATCAGAGATCAGATCGACGGCCCTGATTCAATCTCTCCATCGGGTCGCTGCCCAATCAACCCATTTCTGATTTTCGCTCCAAAACCAAGTTTTCAGTTTTGTGCATGCATCACCGCCATCATCATCAGCATCCGTTTGATTCATAATTAGGGATCCGAATTGATGGGGTTCTTGTCGGATCGAACGGTCAACGATTCTTCAACCTCGTGCTTCGGTGTTGGCTTAAAGGCTTCTTCTTTCCCAGTTTGAACCTCGATTTGGGGATTGATTGGCTCAGAGAATTAGGGCTTTGTGTTTGTTTTTTTTGGATCAAAACATAAAAAGGAAGAATGAGAGTGACGAAGTGTCAGGTTTGGCAGCCTTGCAAGAAGAAGAGGTAGAGGGAACGCTGTATTAAAATTTGGAAAGGAAAGTTTGAGAGGAACGATTTGGAAGATTCTAGAGATAGAGGGGGGAGAAAGAGTGAAAGAGATTGGAGATGGCGTCGAGGTCGGCGACCGGCAGCAGGACCCGGGTCGGGAGGTACGAGTTGGGTCGGACCCTTGGGGAGGGCAATTTCGCCAAGGTCAAGTTCGCTCGCAACGTCGAGACTAGTGAGAACTTCGCCATTAAAATACTCGACAAGGAAAAGGTCCTCAAGCACAAGATGATCGGCCAGGTTAAATTTTTTTTTAATCATTTTTACTAATTTCCCTTTGTGTTTCCTGTTAATTTAATGATCTGGAGATTGTAATGTTGGATAATCCGCTGTTTGGTTGGTGAGAAAATGGAGGAAGAATCAAGGGAAAATGAATTTTTTATTATTTAGTTTTATTTGCTATGTTAATAACAAGGAGAAGAAGTGAGGGTTATGAACTTATGACAAAAAAAAAGGAGAAGAAGTGAGGAAAAAAAAGAGTCAACTTCGGAAAGATTGACATGCACGACTGGATTGAGTTTGTCGTTTTCTGACCCGAATCATGTTACTGTTTGATTATAACTGTTTTATTGACTCTTTGACTTTGGAGAAATTTGTGTATTTAGAAGAAATTTATTGACTTTCTTGACACTGAAGAATTTTATATAGTTTTAAAAAAGTTCTCTATTTCTAATTTCCAAGTTAACTTATGAGAAACGAAGAGAGATTTAAAGATTCACAATCAAAGTTGAATTAGGGAGATTATGATTTTTCTTAAACATATTTAAGTTCCACAATTTACTTAATATAACCTCTACTGCAGTTGTTTTATATTAGATATTTCGTAAAGCATATACTTGTGGAAAAATAAAGGAAGAAGAAATGGAATGTGAGCATTTCATTGCAACTATCATGTGAGTTGCCTTTGGAGGTTCTTAGTTTGTGGGATGTTGGAAAACCCAGCTAAACTTGACTAACATCTGAAATTGAATCGATGTCAGTTTGCTATCAGCATACCCTGTTAGTAGATGTACCAACTCCAATGATTTTTGGAATAAAGGTTTAGTTGAGATTAATTCCAACCAATAAGAAACAAGCCAATCACATGGTCTGACTTGACAGATATGCTTTTGTTACCCTCACCTTGCCTTTTTGATATCTTTAACATCTATACTTATAAAGCTAATTTAAGAAACAAAAGTAATAATATTATTTTCATGGTCATTTTTGTTCTCATTTTGATTTATAAAATTGAATGAGTATTAATTGTTGTTATGTCCTCTCCTTTTGCAGATCAAACGAGAAATATCAACGATGAAATTAATAAGACATCCGAATGTCATCCGTATGTATGAGGTTAGACAAAGCTCATCTTATATTGCTTTTGGATTCCTAATGTTTTCTATTTGTATTCTTAGAAAATAGTTTAGAAGTTTGTTGTTTTCTTAATCACTATCTGGGATAAAATACATGTTCGGCATATACTTGTACATGTTTTTAATCATTATCAAAACAAACATGTACGAGGAGGTGGTGCAGTTTTTCCCATGCAGAGTTTTAAAACTGGGATTTGTTTTAAACCATTATATTTATAATCTAGTGTTTCTTTATTGTCCCATTTATCTCTCTCTCTCTCTCTCTCTCTCTCTCTTCTGTTTTATTTGGTCTTTGGAAGTGACTTCCTGCTGTATTTATGGTATAGGTGATGGCTAGCAAGACAAAAATATACATCGTTTTGGAATTTGTGACTGGTGGAGAACTGTTTGACAAAATTGTAAGACAGTGCTTATTTCAATTCTTTCTGGACTTTCTATTTACGTCTGATGATATATTATATATAATGAGAATCTTTGTGCTATTTTCAATTGCCAGGCAAGTAAAGGAAGATTGAAAGAAGATGAAGCAAGAAATTATTTTCAGCAGCTTATAAATGCTGTGGATTACTGTCATAGCAGAGGTGTTTTTCATAGAGACCTAAAGGTAGGAATTATGATTTCCCCCTTTGATATATATATATATGTGTGTGTGTGTGTGTGTGTGATGAGCTATTCTACCATGTAAGACTAAACTGTTGTGGTTGTAAATTACAGCCTGAGAATTTGCTGCTGGATGTTAATGGGATTCTGAAAGTTTCAGATTTTGGACTGAGTGCACTACCTCAGCAAGTTCGAGTGAGTATTATGACTTAATGCCTTAAGCAAAAGTAAACTCTTTAAATCCCTTCAAAATTTGATAGTGAGGACTGGATGGCTTCCTGAATCTTATTCTGTTTTGACAATACCTATCTCACACTTATAGTCATAATATACTTTTTTTTTTGGACGAAATTATAGTCATAATATACCGTGGTGAATAATTAGGCAGTTTTGCATTTATTTGTTACAGAATATGTGAGTGATTATCTTATCCCTTTCATTTAGGAAGATGGATTGCTTCACACAACATGTGGGACACCAAATTACGTTGCCCCTGAGGTATGTTAGCTTAATCAGTTATTTCTTTCTCTTATTACCCTGTTCCACTTAATGACACTCTTTTTCTAGGTGATAAACAACAAAGGGTATGATGGAGCAAAAGCCGATTTATGGTCTTGTGGTGTGATTCTTTTTGTCTTAATGGCTGGCTATTTGCCTTTTGAAGATTCCAACCTCATGGCATTATACAAAAAGGTGAATCTCTCTCTTTCTCTCCCACCTATTAATTCTTCCTCTTTAAATTTACTTTGCTTTGTCATCCTCTGGCACTGTTATCCTTGTTTTACATCTATGGTTTTTATGTGACCACCAGATATTCAAGGCCGACTTCACATGTCCTCCATGGTTCTCCTCAAGTGCAAAGAAGCTAATTAAGAGAATATTGGATCCTAACCCCTTGGCAGTATGACCTTTTCCCTTATAATATAGAATTTTCCTGTTTCCAGGTGTTTCAATTTGTTTTTTGTACTATTATTTATATGTTACACTTACTATACAAGCTAATTTCGTGAAACAGAGAATTACAATTGCTGAGGTCATTGAGAATGAGTGGTTTAAGAAAGGATATAAGCCACCTAGTTTTGAACAAGTTGATGTCAGTCTTGATGATGTGGATTCTATATTCAATGAATCAGGGGTAAGAGTGAGACATTATGTATTATGATTTACTTTGATTTATGATACCAGGGCTTGACTATCTACTATATTCTTCCCAAGCACAGGAATCTCAAAACCTTGTAGTGGAGAGGCGAGAAGAACGAAATGTGGCGCCTGTCACGATGAATGCCTTTGAGCTTATCTCTACATCCCAGGGCCTGAATCTCAATAGTCTTTTTGAGAAAAAAATGGTATGGTCCATTTTTTTTAATAAAAAAAAGTAAAATTGTAATTGTTATATTTCACATTGTAGTTTCTCTGTTTGCATTATTAGCAAGTCTTATCTTTTCCTCTTTGGTTCTGCTTGCGTAAAGTTTAAGAAGACAGCTGACATTTCCTTAACGAACCAGGAACTTGTTAAAAGAGAAACAAGATTCACATCCAAACGTCCTGCTAATGAGATAATTTCGAAAATTGAGGAAGCTGCAGGGCCTTTGGGTTTTGGTGTAAAGAAAAATAACTTCAAGGTACAATGACTGCTCTCTCTCTCTCCCTCTCTCTCTCTGCATGATGTGATATGAGTTTCCGTTTCTCTTTTCCTTTTTATCTTTTCCTGGTAACATAATTTAAAGCCGAGGAAAATGCATCTATATGTAACACAACCTCATTTCATTTTATCCATCTCAGTTGAAGCTTCAAGGTGAAAAAACTGGACGTAAGGGTCATTTATCTGTTGCAACAGAGGTATGCCTCTTTCATTTTCAGACCTTTCACTTTTTTTCCTGTTGAGTTGACGCCCCTTTTGACAAATGGGATACAAACTAACTTTCTTTTCCAGATTTTTGAGGTGGCCCCGTCACTCTACATGGTTGAGCTCCGCAAGTCTGGGGGAGACACTCTGGAATTTCACAATGTATGTTATTGCAATGTTGATGCAATCATGGCATCTAATAAGTATTGTATATTCATCTAATTAGGAGCGATTATGGGCTCTTCACAAATAATAGCCTCTGGGCTACACCTGTTGCTTGCAAAATTTAATTGCTAGCAGTTGGTGGGCTAAAGCTGGGTCGGCACCCTGCTTGCTTTATTACATAGCAAGCAGCAAATGGCAAGGGAATCTTATGCTGATTTAAATAAGAGGATTAATCCTCATATGGCCACATGATGTGGGCTGGATATAGAGGTGAGAGTTATTTTCAATCTGAGTTTGGTATACCCATCGGCCTAGAAAGTCACCAGATTGAGTTTTACCAGGTTGAGCCAGACAGGCCAGACTTATCATGTTTGGCCATGCATGTTTTTTCTTTTCTTTGATTTTTCAAGTAAAAGTAAGAAGATGTAGAGCGCCGCTCAAGTATCGGACATGTATTATTAGTCCCCTACCACGTTAGGTTTATTGCCCATCTAGCTGCTGCTTACACAACGTTTAAAACTCCAATTACAACAGAGCATGAACAAATCCTTTTTATTATTGTTTTCTGTTGTCAATTTTTTTCATTTGCATGTTTTCACTCGACTTTCTTGAATTTACAGTTCTACAAGAACCTGTCGACGGGGCTGAAAGATATTGTTTGGAAATCAGGAGATGATTCAAGGAAGGAAGCAGAAGATGGTAAGTCTCACTTCCTAATCTGTAGAAACTCAAAGGATTAATCAGAGTGTCTTGCTCTACTTTCCTAATAACCACTTTGAAAGCAAGACCCTCAGACACCTTTTCTCCTGCAGGTGCCAGTGCCCGTGCTCTGCCATCTTGATGATTGGCTTCCTTGACAGAACATACTGATGGGTTTCGTCGCAATGTTCTGTTTTTTCATTCAAAATTTTTGAGTGAACCTCATCAGATGTCAGTTGTTAAATGAATACAGATAGTATGGCTTGCAGAATTATCTATAAAAAGTACTTGGGGTATTTGCTTTGAGTGAACCTGTCATTCAGAAGTCATTTGTTAGATACTTGGTGCAGTTTGGGTTGGGAATTGAATGTATACTTGTTAGTTGTTGTTGTATCCTTTGAGAGAGAACAAAATAAAACGTGAAATCTAATTTCTCTCTACAAATACAAACACATTCCACAGGGAAAATATGTAATCAAACAGATGTTCATCCTCTCTCTGTCCCCCTCTTTCTATGTTTATTACATCTGTATAATAATACATGCAAGTTGTATTTACTTTTGGTTTCAACTTGGGGTGCAAAATAAAGAGTAGTCGACTTATGTTTTCGTAATATCTTGTGATCGATAAAGGAGTATGGAGCTGTTATTGGCACTTCAAAATAGTTATCTTACAAAGTGAAATATAAACACATCAACACCAAAACACAAAGAAAAAAAGATATACACACATCACTTGAGATTCAAAATTTTCAGAATGGTTTTGGTGATTTCAACATTTATTTTTTGTCCAGTAATTTGGGAAGCATTAAATCCCATCAAGTCGCATGATTTGCTTTGTTGGTAAATTCCAAATTCAACCGTTGAATGCAATGCAAACATATATATATATATTAAAAATTCTCTTGTATAAAAAATATCAATAAAAATCATATTGTCAAGTTTTAGGTAAGATACTAATAAATCAATATACAAGTTTTATATAAAATAATTGTCCAAGGCCAACCAGGCTCGTCTAGTCCCATTGTCCAGTAGTGAGGTCCAACCAATGAAATTTCAAACCGAACCCGCCCCGCCCAACATACATATCAGTCGGACCCGTAAAACCCAACCCAGATTTGCCCAGAGAAGAAAAAAAACATAGTGAGTATTATTTACGCGCCACGCATTCTGTACTCGCTATAAAACTAGCTGCCAGTACGCACTCTCCCATTCTCTGCTTTCGAAAAAAATTGTGGGGAAAATCAACGACCATGAGAGAGGAGGTCATCAGCTCCGGAGGGACCATTGATCCTACTCCTGCTGCCAGGTACCCTATCCCTCCCCTTGCTCTCTTCTCTCTCTATCTCCCTGTTCACAAGGCTTTTCGGTCTTCGTTTTCTTTCGATTTCTCTTGCTGATCTAATTAGGGTTTTGCATTTGCTTGCTGTTGGTTCGAGCTGTGAGTGTGGTGTACCAATTTGTGTTGTTAGTGTTAGGGTTTTGGTTATTTCTGTGGTGAATTGGTCAATTTACGCTTCTGTTTGGTTGCTGTGAAAGTGGAGTGCATGAATTTCAGCTAAATTACCAAGTGTTACATGTTTTTTCAGCTTAATTTAGATTAAGCTTTTGTTCTTTTCTAGGTGAAAGAATTACACTCTACTCAGTTACAATTTATTACATGTATTATTGTTAATTCGATTTTCCTTATATATGTTTCATTTCTGCGTTTATTAGTTCGGCGGGGGCATCTTCACCGACTGTTCCGGCAAATGTGGGGAGTGTAGATGGGTCTATTCATGGACAAGGCTCCAAAGGAGCATCTATATCTTGTGTTGGTTCACAACCCCCAATGACGTCTTTGAGCACGAGTGCTGCTGGTGGTGGTGGTGGGGGTAGTTCTGTTTTTGGATCATCAAGACTGTCATGTAGACCTTGGGAAAGAGGGGACTTACTGCGTCGCTTAGCTACCTTTAAGCCTTCAAATTGGTTTGCAAAGCCCAAGGTTTTCACTTTAGCTTTTATTTCCATAAACAAACATTTTAAATCTGAAGTCTTTCTGTACTTATTTGAGTTGTAATGGTAAACTTTGCAACACTGATGCTTCCATTATAAAGTCATTTAGATGCATAAATGCGTGCATGCATACATACACATAAACATATACCTATTGTATGAATATATAATGATTCTGTACTTTTTTTATATTTTAGCTATATGTTATCGAAATGAAATACCTTTTCTTTTGTTTTTGTGTTTTTTTTTTTTGCAATAGGATTGTCTTATCAAGGGATTTATATAGAAAGATGAAATGCATGGTGATATTTTTATATTCAACAGGTTATTGTGATTTGTAGCTCAAATTATGAGTTTCTTTTATAATGTTACTCAAATGAAGCTTTTTGACATTTTATATGTTTCAAAGCATCTAACTGTTGCTTTTGTCATTGCCTGCAGGTCATCAGTTCATTGGCATGTGCTCGGAGAGGTTGGGTGAATGTTGATGTTGATAAGATTGCATGCGAATCATGCAGTGCATCCATGGGTTTTTCTTTATTGCCATCTTGGACTCTTGATGAAGGTTAGCTACTGCTGTCTTAAGGGCTTTCTAGTTATTTGATTTTAAAGCATTGTCGTTTAAAGTATATGTTTATAAACCTACATGCTCTGCATTTATTGTAAGAAAAAATTGAAACATTCCGCTAAGAATGCGACTTCTTATATTGTTAATGCATTATGTTATTTTGGTTTCAAGTGGTTGTTTATTCTACTACGATATCTATATTTGATGGTTGCAAAATTACCATCTAACTGGAAGTTGCTGTAGTCCAAACTGTGGGACAGAGTTGAATTCCTTGCTTCAAGTTTGGCTTCCCTGTGACCTTGTCTAAGCGTTTGAAGGATGTCCCCTGTGGTTTGATCCAATGTATGCTGTTTGGGGCTAAGTGTTGTTTGGATTAGTGTGGTCTTGTCTATTTTTAGTTGGGTTTTCCTGTTGGACTTCTTGCCCACCATGCTATGTACTTCTCTTTTCACTTGATAATAGAATTATTGTTTCTTATAAAATATATTTTAATAATGCAAATCTTCAGTTTTAGAATAAGTTATTTGCCTTCCTATTTTCCTTCTGATAAAAAAATTAGTTAAGAATACAATAACTTTGTCTGTTCCTGTTTTTTAATCTTTTTTTTGTTCTTTCCTTTTCATTTCAATGTGAAGTTCAAAAGGCAGCAGAAGTCTTTGTCAAGCAGCTGGATTCTGGTCACAAAGTTGCTTGTCCTTGGAGAGGAAACAGCTGCCCAGAAAGCCTGGTGCAATTCCCTCCTACCCCTCAGTCTGCCTTAATTGGGGGATATAAGGATAGATGTGATGGACTTTTGCAATTCCACTCTCTACCTAAAGTAGCTGCATCTGCAGTTGAGCAAATGTGGGTTTCTCGGGGTCCACAGGTTGATCGCTTTCTGTCCCAGTCACAGAATCTTATGGGAGGGGAAGTAGATTTTAAACCAGAAAGTATACCAGAACTGGAAAGCTCCCGAGATGGAGCAATCTATTTATATTCTCGTGTAAGATTTATTTATGAACTTCCTGCTTGTGATTTGTTGACTTGGTCAATTACGTACTACTCAATTATATGTTCTTCTAACCCAGTTCCTTTCCTTTATCAGGCTCAGAGGCTTATAAGTCTTTGTGGATGGGAACCGAGATGGCTTTTGAATATTCAGGACTGTGAAGAACATTCAGCCCAATCAGCTAGAAATGGATATTCTATTGGGCCTGCTTATGCCCAGGTCCATCTTTCTCAGGAACCTGGATCAAGCAGGAAAGCAGTTTCTGCTTCTGCTAGAAAGGATGCTGGAAAGAGTAAAGTGTTAGTTAAGGAATCTAGAGGTGATCTCAGGTCACCTTTACTAGATTGCAGCTTATGTGGTGCTACAGTTAGAATTTTGGATTTCTTAACCATTCCTCGCCCTGCACGATTTACTCCCAACAACATTGATATTCCTGACACAAGCAAGAAAATGGGATTGACACGTGGGGCAAGTGCAGCCAGCGGGATTAGTGGTTGGGTTGCTGCTGATGATGCAGAGAAAGAACAGACTGAAGACCGTGATGAGGTAGCAACAACAACTGGGGGGAGTTTGATTCCAAAATCAGATGTTGATTTGAATCTCACAATGGGAGGTGGTTTCACTTTTAACCAATTCGGCAGAACAGAAATGTCCGGAAACATTCACGATGTAGATATGGGAAGGGATCTGATGATTGGGCAACCTGCAGGCAGTGAGGTTGGTGACCGTGCAGCTTCATATGAATCAAGGGGTCCCAGCTCTCGTAAACGGAGTTTGGAAAAAGGTGGCAGCTCTGTTGATAGGCCACATTTAAGGACGCAGCAGGCTGATAGTGTTGAAGGAACTGTCATTGATCGTGATGGTGATGAAGTTACTGATGGTGGACAATATTCAGCTGGGCCTTCAAAACGTGCTCGTGATTCAGATATTTTCGATACACATTGTTCATCTGGTGCTGGTCCGAGTTATTCAATGGGTCTTGAAATTTATGCTGATGGTAATAGAGTTGCTTCGTTTCAGCAAGGTAGTGATCAATTTGCAGGAATCCATTCGAATAGGGATTCAGCACGTGCGTCGTCAGTTATTGCAATGGATACAATCTGTCACGGTACGGATGATGACTCTATGGAAAGTGTTGAAAATTACCCGGGAGATGTTGATGATGTTCATTATGATGCTCATTTCCCCACTTCTAGTACATATGGAAATCTGGACATGAATGATACATCAGAATTGAATAATAGTAATCAAGCTCAGCAGAGCATTGGTTTCCAACCTGTTGCTGATGTGATTCCTGGGGAAATGGGTGTTAGTAGTACAAATGATGGGGAAGAAATTTTCAACACAGAAACCGTGACTGCTCAGGCGCGGGATGGGTTTAGTTTCGGGATTAGTGGAGGAAGTGTTGGAATGTGTGCTAGTCATGAAGCTGAGATTCATGGGGCTGATGTATCTGTCCATAGAGCAGATAGTGTAGTTGGTGATGTGGAGCCCAGAACAGAAGATGCTGAAAATCAGGGCCAGACAGGCGAATCTGCCCCAGATCCTGGACTGATGGATGAAATTGTTCCTGATGAAATAAATAGGGAAGATCCACACGGTGATAGCCAGGAGATGCTATCTCGATCTGTAGGGAGGGCTGATAGTGGCTCAAAGGTTGATGGGTCTACTAAGGCTGAATCTGTGGAAAGTGGTGAAAAGATTAGTCGAAGCTGCAAGTTAGAGAACAATGCCCGCCCTTCTCTTTCATGCAATGCTAACGTTTACTCCAATTATAGAACAACCAAAAAGGAGGTCAAAAATGCTGGCAAATCTTCATTTACGAACAATTGTGTGTACCAAGAATCAGAATATGCAGTTGCCAATGGGATAGGTAAAAATCTATATTTTGGGCAGTTATGTTCCTGTATCACATCTCACCTCCCAATTCTTCTAAAGAAACTTTGTATGAATATGAAGACAGTTTCTTCTATTCTTTCTTATGTTTACTTTTAGGGGTGGTGAATGATTAAGATTTTTAGAGCAATACCTTTTCTTCATTGACTTTTGTTATTGAAGTTGAAAAGTGATGCTTACTGCTTAAGATATTTGTGACAGACAGTTTAACATCTTAAATATATGTTAAAAAGGATTTAGTCATTTATATATATTTTTATGCTTTTTGATTGGTGTTATGTTAACTCTATTTGGTTATTCAGGACCTCCAAAAGGTGAGAGCAATTATGAAGAACCTATGGAATTTGATCCAATTGGTCATCACAACCAGTTCTGCCCCTGGGTCAATGGGAATGTTGCTGCTGCTGGCAGTAGTGGATGTGGCCCTGGTACCAGTGCTGATGTTGTTGCACTTTGTGGCTGGCAGCTGACCTTAGATGCGCTTGATGCTTTGCGTTCTCTGGGGCAGGCTGCAATTCAGACAGGACAGTCCGAGTCAGCAGCATCTTTATACAAGGTTTATTTCTTTTATATTTATACTTTGGTGTTGTAGATCCCACATTTATACTTTGGTTTGGTGTTGTAGATCCAACATTTATACTTAAGTGTGTGCATCCTCTGATCCAACATTTATAGTTTAACCAGCTTCTCTTTTCCCCTTACCATTTGAACAATATCTTCTTGTTGCACCATATGCATTGATTGCATTTCTACTTACAGGATGAACACCAAAACCCTGGCCAGAAGCTCCTTCGACACCACTCTATGAGTCGAAGCCAGGGGCAACATTGAGATGAGCAGTGAAGGTACTTCCAATTACATGTAAGTGTTTCACTAGAATGAAGCTCTTTTAATACTCTTGAAAAGACTGATGATTAGGAAACACCTGGTTTTATCTTCTGTCAAGAAGTTACAGTTCAATCAAATGATTAAGACTACCACCCACCCACACACATACATATGCACATGCACCCACGAGAAGCTCTAGATTGTTTATGCTCCGTGTGAATATGATGGGTAGGAAACTCAACTTCTGTTGTTGCTAATTGCTAAGTATGATAATTTTGCAATTTTCAGTCTTGGTAGTTACATGATTGGATATACATTGGTAGTAGGACATTATTTTATCTCTTTGAAATCAAACGTATTTCAGTTATCAATAACATGTCCATTGGGTACAAGAAGACTAGCTAAACTTATTTGGGCCACGTTGTCTTTCTCTTGTTTGAAACCAAGCCATTTGATGTCATCATTTTAGCAGTTGGATTTCAGCTTCTATAATATAAAGCAATTACAGTTCCATGAGCATCAGCCATGCCTTGTCTGACTTTTACTGATGCTTTACAGAGTCCCAGTTAAACTGTCTGTTGTGCACCTTGTATATATCATCATGGGAAGCAAACAATCTTTTTCGATGGCGTGGCGCTATTTATTTTAATGATACTCATTTATGCATTCTTCGTAGGATCAGAAACCTCGCTCAAAGTCGTAAGGAACTTGAAGAGCAAGTTTCACTAGTTGCAACTGGAGCCGCACCCCCTTTACCCCTCCTTATGGTGGTGTAATTTATATAAAAGCAGGAATCTTAGATGCATTTTTTGGTATGAAACTTTAGACGCATTTTCACGCAGAGTTAACTTCCTTGTCTGTATTTTTGTTCAAGAAATTTTATTTTTTTTGGTTTACTATTACTTAGAAAATTAGTGATGTGATGGACCAATCGGATCTGGACATGTTTGAACAATTGTAATCCCCCGCAACTTGCTTTAATGTTATATCATCTTAGACTGCAAATATGGGTTTCTGCTTGACAGACTAAATATTTGTTCCCTCTTTGTCCTAATGTGTTCATTTAAGTTCAAAAAATTATTATTATTTTGCAAATCTTGTACTTTTAATAACCATTCTCTCTACGGGGAATTAGATTTATGTACATATGTCATCACAAATTTAACATGTATTTTTCTGTTTAAAACTAGCGGTAATTAAAAAATTTGTAGCTATACAAGCTTCATATTAGCTCCCTCCTACTAGAAAAGATGACATATAAAAAGAAGCAAGGGGAAGGAAGAACATGATCTGCAATGAAAAGCTATTCTTAAATCCAAGGCTCCGAGTATTGTTGCCACTGATATTGTGACTTTTGAAAGTGAAAGGCAAATTTGTAAGTTTACTGGATGCAGCATGAATTGCTTTGGTCTGGATTTAATCCCAAACAATCTATGAAATCCAAACTCAACCAATCATATTCAAGCAAATTGCCAGGTGTGCCTCACTGTCCCATACCTTTAAAACCACTCAGATGATGATATTTCCAAAAGAAGGCCATCTCCTCCCTTCTCTCTCTCCCCTCCAAAAACCATGCCATTAGCAGCAGCAGCTTTGCAGTCATCTCTGTGCTTCTCTTCTCATAATCCTCCATCATCATCATCTACTGCCTCCAATTCCCAGGCATTAAACACAAGCACAAACACCCAATTGCCTGCAAAACCCAAAAGCCTCCTCCAAAAGCACCCTCTCTACACACCCACCCACACCAAACTCTCCCTCCAATTCAAAGAGAAAATCCTATGCCTTGAAATCATGGGAGTTGATGCAGGCAAGGCACTCTCCCAAAACCCTTCTCTCCACACAGCCTCTCTTCACTCCATCCACTCCATAATCTCCTTCCTCCAATCCAAAGGCATCCACCAAAAGGACCTGCCCAAGATCTTTGGAATGTGCCCCAACATTCTCACCTCCAGCATCAAAAGTGACCTCAACCCAGTTTTCATCTTCCTCTCAGAAGACCTCAAAGTCCCAGAACACAGCTTCAGAAAGGTCATCAACAAGTGCCCCAGATTGCTTGCTTGCAGTGTAATAGACCAGCTCAAGCCAGCTCTGTTTTATCTTCAGAGACTTGGGTTCAAGAACCTGGATGCCCTGGCTTACCATGACTCTGTGCTACTGGTTTCAAGTGTGGAGAAAACCCTAATCCCCAAACTGGAGTTTTTGCAGAGCTTAGGTTTCCCAAGAGATGAGGCTGTTGGGATGGTGCTGAGGTGTCCTGGACTGCTAACTTTCAGCATTGAGAATAACTTCAAGCCAAAGTTTGAATACTTTTCTGTGGACATGGGGAAGAAGTTGGAGGAGCTGAAGCAATTTCCTCAGTACTTTGCTTTCAGCCTGGAGAAGAGGATAAAGCCAAGGCACATGGAGGTTGTGCAGAGGGGAGTGGAAGTGCCTCTGCCATTGATGCTCAAGAGCACTGATGATGAGTTCAGGGAGTTGCTGGGGGAATTTGGGGGTGGATGAGATGAGCCAGCTCTGCCAATTTGTGCTCTCTTTTTTCTCTCCTTGCAAATCTTCTGACTGTCTACTTTTTTATTTTGTTTTACAAGGTCATCTTAGATTGTGTATTTGCACAGTTTGGATAATTTTTAAAGCTGTCTGTGAATAATTTTGTTGGCCAAAGGTTCCAAGTGGCTATTTCATTTTGCTAGTTTACTTGAGCTTTTTTGGGTTTTTTAAACCTTTCTTAGTGAGAGGGAGGGGCGATAATATACTAAACTCACACACACAACATGGACACTAGAATTTGAACCTAGGACCTTGCTTGAGGAGCAATTACTCCAAACCACTATACCAATGAGTCCTTAAACCCTAGTTATACGTAAAATAATAGTCTATCAAAATGTAAATAATTAAAAAAACAAAAAAAGAATAAAAGTCAATATCCAACAATAAATTCAATAAAAAAAATATAAAAATATTGACAGGGCCAAGAAACTGTCTAAATTAAAGTTTCAGAGTTCAAAGGAAAGTTCAAAGGAAAATGTCTTAACTATTTGTTTCTTATTATATGGATATGAAACCCAAACAACCCTTTAAAAAAGATTGCAAATTTCTCCTGTATTAGCAGCTAAACCTTCAGAAAACTCAATGATTGAAATAAATAAATAAATAAAAATGGGAGCGTCGAATTAGCAAATCTAAACTAACCCTTAATAGAAATTAGAAAGTGAGAGTGCGCGTTTTATTACATGGCTCTGTTTGGCCGTTGTCACATGGTTGTGGCGCTTACACATAAACTCAAAGTCGATTACGTTCTTCCACTTTGACCGACCTCTCCCCAAAACCCCTCAACACACACACTGTAATCTCTCTCTTGCTCTCTCGCTATCGGCAACTCGTCCTTTTGAATCGTTTATAATTTCATTGGGGAAGCAAAAAAATGTTATTTTCTCGGGGATTTTCTCGGATTGGAAGAAACAGCTTCAATGGGTTGTGTCGGTGTTTGCTCTCTCGTCGTATGGACGCACATCAATTATTTGTCTCCAGCATTTATTCTCAGTCTCTAAGTGAATCGACCCAGAAGGTAATTTGGATCCATAAAGCTTTAGATTTATTGTTTAAGTGCTATATATATTTCACTGCTTTAATTAGTGTATGTTAGTAGATTTTGGGTTGCAGAGATTTCTTTTCTTGGGGATTGCCGCCTGTTTTCCATGGCTATAGGCACCAAATTCACCATCAAAGCAGCTCCATAGTTGAGGTGAGGTGTTGGGTATTAATATTTTTACTTTTCTTTTGGTTGCTACATACCCATTTGTTCGTTCAATGCCAAGTGTGAAAGCTATGAGTTCCCAAGTGTTCAAAAGAAACATTTTTTTCCTTGATTCCTGGTTGATTATGCAAAAGTTTAAGTAGTTAGGGTATGTGATCAGCGTCTGGATGGAATGTATGAATGATGTATTGTTGTTTGTGGTACAATTACAAAGAAGATTAATTTTAACTTTTCGATGCTAAATTGGCTTATGCCCCTTTCTCTTAGAGAGTTTTGTTTTTGTGTTTTTGTTTTTTTGTAAAAGATCTTTGTTTTGTACATTCAATTAAGATGCTTAGAAACTGCCTTACAGGAACCACTTGACCCATTCTCCCTTGTTTCCGATGAGCTATCACTTATTGCTGACAGGTTGCGGGACATGGTAGTTGCTGAGGTATATGTAATTTCTTTCTCCTTTGGCTTTAATTAATATTACGCTAAGGATGTATATGTTTGAAAGGGAAAGTTGATATTAATGGTTTCATAAGATTCAAATTTAATATCATAGATCATAACTGATCTTCTTTCTTTTCAGGTCCCTAAGCTTGCCTCTGCTGCTGAGTACTTCTTTAAAATGGGGGTGGAGGGAAAGAGGTTTCGTCCCACGGTAATAGCACTAGTACTAATCAATTGTTTGACTTTCTCTGTTTCACTGAATATCAAGATGTTCTATACCTGGATGCAATTTATCTTCTGTCTCTAAGTTCATGTCACCTATTGTTACGAAATACCGGTTGAACAGATATATGGCTTATTTTTATATGCAGTGTCCTTGGTTTTATATGTAATACTATCACAAATCTTTTTAAACTCTTGAGTTCATTGCTCTATCTAGCCGTAAGTGACTTGAGGCTCACGCCTCAAGTTGAAAGGTTATCTCTTACTTACCTTACACACCCCTTCTGGCTAGACCTATATACATGGTTACCTCTAGTTTTTCTTTTGTTATGCTTGTATCCCCTGTAGTTTAATAAAGCGGGAAAAGTGAAGCCTATGTTCAGCCACTCCCTTGCTTTTCCCACCCCTCACAACAGTTTGAGGAAAATTGTTTTTATTCATCCTACTTCACCAATATTACTAAAGTACCCTTAATCCTAATGCTCTGTCTCGTCGTTTGCTAGCTTTTGATGGCAGCAACCATGCAGCCATGGTTGCTATTGTCCATGGCAGCACCCCTACATGCGGGCAGAGGGTGTTGCACCGATGGCAGCTACTATGAAGCACAATCATTATTGTTATTATTTAGAATCTCAAACATGTCCTTTTAGGTAATTTGCAGGAGGATAAAATTGTAATTAAAATTTATCTTAAAAGGTGGGTGGGGTGAGTAGTTTGAGGGTGGCAATAGCGCCATTCAAGAGGAAAACAAGGGAATCTGTTTGATGGTACAGGTACAGTTTCAATCATGACCTTGTAGGAGATTTGTTTGCTCACATTTGTTCAAAATTTTGAAGAAGGATTAGGAGAGGGAAGTTGTCTTTTGCTCAAAATTAGGTAAAAGTTTTGAAGAATGATTAGGATACATAAAGTATTTTGATCCAACGTCGTTTTTTCTTGATTTTTTTTTTTGGCTGAGTAAAATCTTATATTCTAAGGAGAAGGGGCAAATATTTAGTGTGCAAGTAATGGTTTTCCTTAAAATTAACATGTTAAATATGAAGCAAACTGCAAGGTGTGTGTAAGTGTTAACAAAAGAAAAATAAAAAAACCACTTGGGGTTCAATATAATTAGGCCTGGCCACAGGGGTGTTTCTAAAATTTACCCTGAAACACGTCCAAACCGTAAACCTTTAACCCAAAATCTTATTTACATTTATATATTATTGTTGTAACTTTGACTGCAAGTCAAAGAATCAACATGTGCCAATGGTCTATCTAATACTTAAACATTAGGCTAAAACTTTATGCACTTAAATACTACTAATCTCTGTTCAGTTATTTTTTTAAATTTTAAAGTTACTTTACTTAAACATAGGGCTGATACCCTATGCACTTAGTTACTACTATCTCTGTGTCTAACATGCAAACACTTAATCCCTACCTTAGGTTTTCCAGAATAATGATTGCCATAAAGTCTAAAAGTTACTCAACAATTTTATGCTATATGCAGGTCCTATTGCTAATGTCAACAGCTCTGAATGTCACAGTACCTGAACCTCCTACACAGTTGAGAGAGGCTTTGTCAACGGAACTGCGTGCAAGACAGCAGTGTATCGCAGAAGTCACAGAGATGATTCATGTTAGTATTATCTTTGCTGATGATCCTACTACTGTTGCTTTTATTTTGATATATGCTACATAAAACTGGAATAATATCTCTGCAATGCACTAATAAGAGGCCAATTCATTTGTGTCCTTCCAAAACTGTTTTCTAATGGCTTGTTCTAAGCCCCACATTGAGGTGGACGTGCACAAATAACAAGACTTTTTCCCCCAAAGCTAGTGCTCTAATTATAAATTTATCATCTAACCTTTTCATCCCTCCAACTTATCTACAATAATATAACTCAACTCCTATATCTATGAAGTTTCTAGTTACCTTAATAGGAATGCAGTATGTATTATAATGCTTCAAGAGTAAGTTGTGCACAATGAGGATATGATAGTGCTCTTAAGACTTCAAGCCTAAAAAAGCTTCTAATGTAATTAGTTTCATTTGTCAGGTGGCAAGTCTTCTACATGATGATGTATTGGATGATGCAGATACAAGAAGAGGTGTTGGTTCATTAAATTGTGTAATGGGAAATAAGGTGTACTTTTGGTTCACTAAAATTGATCAAGTTTCCTGTTTTTCACTTATAAGAACATAATTTATTGTAATGCCTCTATTCTTCTCTCTTCAAAAGTTCGATTATAAGTATAGGGATGGAGGTGTTTACTGGAGTATTGGAGAGTTTATATTGTTATAATTATATATACATGTAAGAGCGTCCACATGCATAACATTAAGTATTTACATAGGGAAAGTATCATGTTTCTTATTAACGGTTAGATTTTAGTCCAACGACTTAGACCATGATATGCACCTTCCTCAGTTTGATAAATACTTGACCTTGGCAGAAGTGTGTAATCCTGGGACTCTTACCATGCCCTTGTCTTTTACACTGCTAGTCAACTGATATCTCTGTTTCTATTAGAGTTTAGTTTGTGGCCTGTATATGGCTGCTGATGATCCCCTTTCCTGCTAAATGACATCTAGTATTAATTCTTGCGAAGTATTGGACATTTTAATATTCCATATGCGATTGAGTGCTACAATATATCATGATATCTCTTTCTTTTTGTTTCCCTTCTTATTAATGATTCTGTGCTGGGAATTACACAGTTATGGAAAGGTTTTGCATGATATGATAGTTGCTCTTCTTTCCATCATTGAATGCAGTTAGCTGTTTTAGCAGGGGATTTCCTGCTTTCCCGAGCTTGTGTCGCACTTGCCTCTCTAAGGAACACAGAGGTACGCTGTATTATTATGTACTAATGCACTGAAATGAGCAATAACACGCGGGGCTATATTACATGGACTCTGGCTCGTCTTGTTTCTTGTATAGGGAACTCTGCCACAAATGGTCAAAAAATTCGATATGCTGTGCTGGCACTCCATTCTTAGAGTAGTTGTATTTCATCCCCATGTCGTAAAGAATGTCAATTAACTTTAAGCCAGGATCTTGATGCTTATTAACCTACAGCTACAAAGTTTTTCTGGTGGGTGGGGTGGGGCTGCGAGGGGAAGTTTGTAAGTACCTAAATGACAGAGATATGGAGCTCACAGTCAAATGGTAGATTGCCAGGGTCCATAATGTACCTGGTCCACCTCAGAGCCCATCTTATTACTTTTCATAAAAATTAGTCTGGCAATTCAAAGACGAGGATGCCTATCCATTATTATATTGGGTTGTATCGAGATGGGTATGGACCAAAGTGCCTAGTCCAAGCAACACAGATACAGGGATGTGTGTTCACATTAGTTTTTAAAATATTATCTGCATATTTTTTGTGCATTTGCAGGTTGTATCATTACTTTCAACAGTTGTAGAGCATCTTGTGACAGGTGAAACCATGCAAATGACTACTACATCCGATCAACGTTGTAGGTACACTGCTCTGCTGCTTCTATCATATAAATACATTTTGTTTGCTTTTCGCTATTTGCTCGGTAGGTGATGTGAGTAGATGTTTAGACCAAGTAGTGATTATGATGCATTGACTTCTTGATCTTTGTTCCCTTTTTTCCATTGTCAGTTACAATCCTATTCCGCTCATAATTTGCTTTTGAATTATTAAACTACTGGTTCGTAAAAGTATATCTGTAGGCGTTCATAAGGTTTGGAGTTGGCTTGCTATGTCTTGTAGACTGCTTCTTTAGACCTTTTTTTTAACGTTAAGAAATTTGTTGAAAAATGCCATGGGGCACTCTAATTTGTGTGCCCCTCCTTTTCTTTTTCAATTAATACTTAATTCTCAAGGAAAAAGAAAGGAGAGGGAGGTTGGTATGATAATTTCATGTTGTTTGAATTTTCTTGCAACAGCTTTAATTTAGGGACTTTCAGCCTGTTCTGGAGGACCATTTGACGACGTAGGGGTGTTGGTAGTATGTGGGGTTTTATGATTTTCATTGGGTAAGAAAAGGGTAGACAATTGGGGTTATGAAGAGAAGAAAAGAAAGTTGGGGGGGGGGTTATTACAACGAGGTGTGCTGTGTAGGGAGAGCTGAAGAGTGAGAAACAATTTTCCATTACCAAAGTACTCAATGTTCCATTATCTATGAGTGCAAGCAATTAAGCATACACGTAGTTTCAATTTATCCTTGTTCATGTTATATATATATATATATATTTTCTGATGATGTTTCTTGATTTATGTTTCATTAAGATTTAGACGTTGCTAATAATGATAAAATTTGATATTGACTGCAGCATGGAATATTATATACAAAAGTCGTATTTCAAGACTGCATCATTGATTTCAAACAGTTGCAAGGCAATCGCCATTCTTGCTGGGCATACAGCAGAAGTTGCAGTGTTGGCTTTTGAGTATGGAAAAAATCTGGTTTGTGAACCCTTGAAACTCCTTTCCCAATTTATTTTCTTGAGGAGCAAGCTAAGTTCTAAGATCTAAGATCTTTTATGAGTTTACTGGCCAGTTCCTCCAAACAGAAGCATACATGGAGAAATACTAAAAATAATCAAAACTAGATCAAAGTTTCCTTCTAGAGCTCAAATCAAGGATATTTTCTGATGGTGCATGCATGGGCATAATAACCATCAGAAAATATGTATGGATGGATGGATGGGTCGATTTGTGTTTGTTTGCGTATGCATGTCAAGCTGACTCTTTTTTTGCCCCTCAGGGATTGGCATTTCAATTGATTGATGATGTTCTTGATTTCACGGGTACATCAGCTTCTCTTGGAAAGGGCTCTTTATCTGACATCCGTCATGTAAGTATTTGATTGGTTGTGTGAGATTTCCTTGTTTGAACAAATGAGATTTGTCTATCTATCTCGCTTTCTTACTCGTTACTGAGCTACTAGGTGCCTCTAATGGCTAAGTTTGCTAGCTTAGCTTGAAATTGTTGCTGTGTCTGTCAGCCTTAAGAATGGTTTGAGTTGTGCTAATTAGTGAAAACAGTATTGGTTTTCATTCTTTTTCTTTTCAATTTTGGAATGCTCAACAAGCTTGCTTTTTTCTGTCAGAATGTATGGTATGCTTGACCTTAAGAAAATTTATATTTCAGGGCAAGCATTTTTTCGTTTAGCGTGTTGAAGTAAACTTCCACTTTTTTATTCATAGCAAAATGAGAGAAGTTGTCAACTATCATTTTCCATGCTGCTTTGTTTTGAGCTTTCATGTTTCAGATACCTGGTTTTGTCATAATTATGTGAAACTATATAATGATTTTGTAGGGCATCATAACCGCTCCAATATTGTTTGCCATGGAAGAGTTTCCTCAGTTGCGTGCAGTTGTCAAACAGGGCTTTGACAACCCTGCAAATATTGAACTTGTAAGTTTGTGTAATCCACTGGCAAGTCCTGAAAGTCTGGCTTTTCTTTTAAATAATCTTTCCTTCTGCCAATGGCCTACTACCTTATATTTGAAATTCCCAAGTTGTATACTTGCGCCTTAATTTTATTAAATTCAATTCTTATTGTTGAGTTCATGATATATTTCTGGGAAACACAGGCTCTTGACTACCTTGGTAGGAGCAATGGGATACATAGGACAAGGGAGCTAGCCACAAAACATGCAAACCTTGCCGCATCAGCAATCGAATCTCTGCCCGAGAGTGAAGACGAAGATGTCAGAAGGTCAAGGAGGGCGCTCCTAGATCTCACCCACATGGTCATTACAAGAACCAAGTGATGGAGAAGATATGCACCATAATGACATAATAATGTGTTGAAGCTCAATTAATTGGTCATTGTCCCTATTAAGGATGAGGGACAATATTCCGTTGTTTTCATCGTATTCTTTCAATTCTTCCCCTATTTTTGTTTTTCAAAATTTTTTTAGAGGACTACATTTTGCAATTCTTTTTTCTGTAAAATTTTCCTTTATCCCTCGTTATGTAAATTAAACTCTGTGGAGAGTAAGGATATCACACATAATTCTCCCAGATTCTGATAAAATGATGTGCCTGGGATCGCATTTACTCTGCTTTAAGAATGAAGCTAGCAGTAAATTTCGTCTCTGAAAGGCTGTGTTGGGATGCTTTCTCGAGTCTTATTTGAGCTTACTTGTATTAACAAATAAATACCAAAATTTTTGTTTAAACACTCCCAACAAAAATATACAGATAAAATACCAAGCGCAGTTAATCGAAAAATGTACATTCTTCATGAAGACATGCACTAATTTACATTTCACCCATGTCCATGGTGCAGAGATTCTTCATGAATATTGCAAAGTTTGAACATTTTGCATACTTAAAACTTGCTGGTTCTTCAATTGCAACCTTCAAGCCAAAACTGAGTTCCAAGGGAGTTCAGATGATCCACTAAATAATGAACACATCTTGGGAGATGAACAGAGCCCATGCATCCTACAATCACATAGCATCACTTCATTACTCATCATCATCATTTCTTGGAGTTATTTTTGTTTTAATTCTTTATAATTTCTTCTTTAAGTTCTTATAAAGGTTAACTATATATGTATATATTTACCTGGAGGATGGAGAAGGCCTTTTCAGCAAGGTGCTTTTGAGAAAGTGTTGCTCCTCTTTGTTGCAGTTTGTCTGGGTGGAGACAGAGCCTTGCTTTCTGGTAGGCTTTCTTGACCTGTGAACTTTCTATTAGGCTTGTCAAAGGAATTGCATACCATCCACTATCAGCCCATAGAATCTGATTAAGTCAACACCAAACAAACACACCACCATGTAATTAACATTAATTTGACTTTGGAGATTTGAAAAATAGTATTGAAAGAGGAAAAACTACTTAAATCCCAAGATCTTAATTACATGATGTAGTGTTGAAAGCAGCAAACGAATGTTGGATTCTCTGCCAGTTGACCATAGCCTTATGTCTTCATCCAAAAGCTCCATTTCAATCTGGCATTTTAGACACAGCATATTGATCAAATTTTTGTTCCTCAATCCACATCTTATGAAGAAGGGAAGAATTCGTTTGCTCGTATAGTAGCTCAAATATTTCAGAGAAGTATAAAGTTAATGTTGATTATTTAGACTGATGTACTTGAACTAACATGACACATTTATGCAGAATCGATTGTAAAAGGACTTACCTCTTTTTCTGAATGTTGGTTTTCATCTTCAGCAACCCACGTTCTTTCTTCTTCTTCTTCTTCTTCTTCTTCTTCCTGCAAAACATGTAGATTGGAAGTGAGATGTCATTGAACCCTTGACCTTGTTAACACTTAATGTTGCTACATGCCCCTTCAAAATAAACCATAAATACTTTACCTCTGGAGATTGAGTCATTTCATGAAGTTCATCTCTCTGCTGATGATCTGAGTATTCATCCACATTATTAGGCCTACCTGAATCATATCAAACACACAAATTACATCTACTCTTATGTTTATCTTCATGAAGTTTCAGTTTAGAAAGTAACAAATGATCACCTTCTTGATCCATTTCAACAGACTGCTCATTCTCCCGTTGGGTCAAGCTCCCTTCTTTCTCAGAATTACTGTGTGTTTGAAACTTCTCTTTGGCCCAAGCAATTGCTTCTTCAATACCACCTGCTTCACATGTACCCTCCCTATGCTCAGAATTTATCTCAATCACATAAGAGCTCATCACTTCATCGTCTTCTTCTCGTTCTACTGCTCGCATTACTTCTTTTTCATAATCAAAAACACGATCCCGAATCCCAAATTTGGCCTCATGTTCTTGACAGAGTGAAGAGACTGCTGAGGATGGGGAATTGAGCTCTAGATCATCCACAGATAGCTTGACGCTTCGATACGAATTGGGTTCGAGACTAATGGTTTCTGGGGACAAGACCTTTCTTGTAAACCCAAAATAGGAGCTTCTAAAACTTTCATCATGTGCATTTTCCATAACTTGGTTTTCAGTGAAAGACGTGCGATTGCAATGCAGAGCTGTGCCTTGTTTCTTCGAATTTTCTTGTTTGGTAGGCAGCATAGTCGATGAGTTCCATCTACATGGTACATTTAGTGGTCTGTAGCAATCAAGAATGTGTTGACTTGAGGAACTCATAATAGTTGGTTTGCTAAATTTTCAAACCAATTGGATAAAGTTTTGGCCTTTTGGTTAGATCCAGGCTGTCAACTCCAAATAAATAAGAACCCAACTCATCTTCATTTCAACACACTAGTGTTATGAACATAATTTAACTTATATGTTGGAAGAGATTTCGAATTTGAATACTAACTAATTAATTTTAAAAAACAAGACTATATTCGCACGGATTTATCCGATCAAATTATTTTAGTGTCAACCCAATAAATCCGAAGCATAAAAGAACTCAATAAATCCCAAAAAAAAACTAGTTTTTCAAAATATTAGAATGAAATCTATGGAGGAAAAAAACAGAAAAATAGAAAAGAATAAAACGATTTTTTTAAAGTTCCCGCTATACCCCTATCACGGACAAGAACGAAAACAGACACCCACCATCAGTTTTCCCTCACTATACCCAGAACTTAAGCCAATCCAAGGCAAATATAAAGCAACGACAAGGGTAAAATCGTTAAGAAAATTAACTGCTGTAAAAAAACGGTTGGGCATACCGCGAAATGATCAAGTCACACTACCTGAGCTTTGAAGCGAAGGAGGACAATGCCACGTCATCTCCGATGATCGGGCGGAGAGGGCTGAGCTCCTCCGAGCTCAGCACCGACGACGAGTTGGATTTCGCCTTCGAGTTCGGCCTGGATCGCTCTCTCGACCTCCGCTGGCCGCCATCGTCGTCCGATCCAAAGATATCGCTATAGAACCCCTCGCTCCTCCCCGGAATCCTGAAAGCCGGCAAGCTCCGGCCGCTCTACAAATATCATGCTAGATCATCTTTTACTGCTTGCGCACCAACCTTTCTTTTTGGATTTGGATGATTTTGGGTTTGTTGGATCACTATTTTTGTTCTTTCTCTACCCTCTAATTGGTATCAAATGAATTATCTTTGCTCAAATCATGTAACAAAAATTTATTTACATATCAGAAAAATGGGCTTCCTCCAGACGGGGATTCTCCAATAAGTATTTTATGTTAATAATTGGTTACATATTTCTATTCTTGGCCGTTGGATTGCATTCATCAAATGTTTCTTTTTGGATTTGGATGATTTTGGGTTTGTTGGATCACTATTTTTGTTCTTTCTCTACCCTCTAATTGGTATCAAATGAATTATCTTTGCTCAAATCATGTAACAAAAATTTATTTACATATCAGAAAAACGGGCTTCCTCCATACAGGGATTCTCTAATAAGTATTTTATGTTCAGAATTGGTTACATATTTCTAATCTTGGCCGTTGGATTGCATTCATCAAATGTATTGGTAGTCTCTTAGATACAATCCAATCATTAACTTAAATACTTGTCGGATAATCTCTCACCGAAGACAATATTTACTTTTGAGTCAAAAGCACAAACTTGAAAATAAACATGCCATATTGTAGATCATGCGCCGAAGTCCCAAAAGTACATTTTGAAAGTCTCAATTCGGTGTGAGAAGAGTGAACAAATCCAATCATATCAGATTTTATCAGCCAAAAAAGAACCCTAAAGACTATTGTTTTCCTAGAAAAAAGGTTGATGCTATTTACCACTCAGTAGGGGAAGGGAAGGAGAAATGTATTCAAACAGAAAATTAAAGCAGAAAGTGTGGGTGAGTATAAACATGCCATATTGTAGATCATGCGCCGAAGTCCCAAAAGTACATTTTGAAAGTCTCAATTCGGTGTGAGAAGAGTGAACAAATCCAATCATATCAGATTTTATCAGCCAAAAAAGAACCCTAAAGACTATTGTTTTCCTAGAAAAAAAAAGTTGATGCTATTTACCACTCAGTAGGGGAGGGGAAGGAGAAATGTATTCAGACAGAAAATTAAAGCAGAAAGTGTGGTTGAGTAATGTATTTGTTCAACATCTAGGATTTGTTGTCTTGGATAAAGTTGATCGAATTTATAGTGTTAATGAAATTTGTTCAACATCAAAGATTTGTTGTCATGTTTGATTTAAAAAAATATCAGTCACAGTGGAAGGGAATAATTGAGGGAAAGCAAATCATGAAAAGCACTTTCATGTTTCTTTTACCTCTTTCCCCTTTTTGCATAGCACCTTTTTGCATAGCACTTCAAATTAATATATCTTTGGTTCGTTTGATTGATGGTGTACATTTCCTGTGAATTGATTTCATTAGCTTGAGAATCTTTCTGATATGAGACTTTTGGCCTCATACATGAATTTTGTTTTTGTAATTTTGAAAAGAATTAAAACATTTAATATATATATATATATATATATCTTTGAAAGTGAGGGGTTTTTTTTTTATGTTAAGCGTGTTCTATGGTAAGAAAAGTGCACACTTCCTCTTTAGAACTATTTAACAATATATTTCAACGATCAGAATCGTCTATAATTTAAGTTATCCTTCATAAGTTCCGTGTAAAAAATCATTTAGATCAGAAGTTATTTGGTGCTGTTTCATTTGTATTTTTGTTATCTCTTGGAATATTGTACTCTAAGATTTATCAGATACATCCCACATTCATTTTACTCTCTGGTTTACCATTTCAAATAATATTGTAAGTTTTGTCTGTTTTACATGTTGTGTTTGAGGAAGCAGAGGCATATTAGTTACCTGAAATACTATATAATTAAGAACAGATTAACTATATGTAGTAACCTATCTTTTAATTTACTTTATTAAGATAATCATAACGAAGAAAACCAGACAAAGCCAAATATTGTATAATATCTGAGGAAAAGTCAGCTATCAAAAATAAATTGGGGAAAAGCTTTTGTCTCCAACTATTTCTGACAAGCTTATAAAATGTCTGTCTGAGCTTTTCATACATGCAATTTTTTTCTCTTAAATTTCTTATTAAAGGTTTCCCAAGCAAAGGTAAGGGATGTCTTGAACCGTGCATTGTATTTCAATGATCTAAATCGTTTAGTTTTTAGATATTCCTTCAAAGATTATTTTCGCAAAAAATCACTTGAATCCGAAATCATTGACCTCTCAATTAGATACTTGAATCCGAAACCATTTGACTACTCAATCCTAAAGACTATTGTTTTCCTAGAAAAAAGGTTGATGCTATTTACCACTCAGTAGGGGAAGGGAAGGAGAAATGTATTCAAACAGAAAATTAAAGCAGAAAGTGTGGGTGAGTATGTATTTGTTCAACATCTAGGATTTGTTGTCTTGGATAAAGTTGATCGAATTTATAGTGTTAATGAAATTTGTTCAACATCAAAGATTTGTTGTCATGTTTGATTTAAAAAAATATCAGTCACAGTGGAAGGGAATAATTGAGGGAAAGCAAATCATGAAAAGCACTTTCATGTTTCTTTTACCTCTTTCCCCTTTTTGCATAGCACCTTTTTGCATAGCACTTCAAATTAATATATCTTTGGTTCGTTTGATTGATGGTGTACATTTCCTGCGAATTGATTTCATTAGCTTGAGAATCTTTCTGATATGAGACTTTTGGCCTCATACATGAATTTTGTTTTTGTAATTTTGAAAAGAATTAAAACATTTAATATATATATCTTTGAAAGTGAGGGTTTTTTTTTTTATGTTAAGCGTGTTCTATGGTAAGAAAAGTGCACACTTCCTCTTTAGAACTATTTAACAATATATTTCAACGATCAGAATCGTCTATAATTTAAGTTATCCTTCATAAGTTCCGTGTAAAAAATCATTTAGATCAGAAGTTATTTGGTGCTGTTTCATTTGTATTTTTGTTATCTCTTGGAATATTGTACTCTAAGATTTATCAGATACATTCCACATTCATTTTACTCTCTGGTTTACCATTTCAAATAATATTGTAAGTTTTGTCTGTTTTACATGTTGTGTTTGAGGAAGCAGAGGCATATTAGTTACCTGAAATACTATATAATTAAGAACAGATTAACTATATGTAGTAACCTATCTTTTAATTTACTTTATTAAGATAATCATAACGAAGAAAACCAGACAAAGCCAAATATTGTATAATATCTGAGGAAAAGTCAGCTATCAAAAATAAATTGGGGAAAAGCTTTTGTCTCCAACTATTTCTGACAAGCTTATAAAATGTCTGTCTGAGCTTTTCATACATGCAATTTTTTTCTCTTAAATTTCTTATTAAAGGTTTCCCAAGCAAAGGTAAGGGATGTCTTGAACCGTGCATTGTATTTCAATGATCTAAATCGTCTAGCTTTTAGATATTCCTTCAAAGATTATTTTTGCAAAAAATCACTTGAATCCGAAATCATTGACCTCTCAATTAAATACTTGAATCCGAAACCATTTGACTACTCAATTAGATGGTTATTATATATACATATATCATGATTGCTTCTGTTCTGTATATGGTACTGTTTAGATGGTATGGTGGAACAGTAATTTAACAATTTACTGACAAAGTGTTAGGAGGGTAGGTGAGGGAAAGGATGGCTGATACCTCAAAAGGGGACATTGCTTGGCACAAGTTGATTGATAAGAAAAGGCTTTATGCCTACACCTCTCTACTTTACAACACTTGTGCTGCTAATAATCATCATTCTTTCAAGCAAAGCTAAACCTCAGTGCAGAGAGAGAGAGAGAGAGAGAGAGGCATAATAATTGATGCCACGAGAAAGCAGAACCTGGCGGTGCCAATAAAGAGAGCAAATCCCATATTGCTAGTGGCAACTTGAGACTTTTCAATAATAATAAACATAATCAAATATAATTCCTCACAGACTTTGCCTGCTGTTTTTGTGATGTGGTCCAAAAACATAACCCAGAGACGAAGTGTAAATGGAGCTTTCCATATGTATCAGCTTGATTGATCACACACGCTGGTCTTGCTGTTTGGTGTCTCTAAGTTCTGCATGCATCACTTCTTTGGGCTATTTATTTTAGCATTAAAGCAGCTTTTTGGTTTGACCACATTGTCTTCTCCTATCCAAGGCAGCTTCAATCTAAGTTCAGGCTGTGAATTAAGCCAAACCAGTTAAATGATTAATGTTGCCTCAGTAAAGATTGAAAAGAACAAATGCTACACTGATGCTAATACTATTTCAACCCTTTTTGGGCATGTAATATATGGCCTTTTCATTAATCAAATTCAAGTTCTTGCATTTGTGAAAGATCCAAAAGACGAGATCGAGCATATGCTTCCAACAAGAAGGAACTAAATGCAGAGCTGGTGTTTTAGTTCCACACAAGATTCATCAGGTGCTTCAAACACTAATTTAACTTGGGTAAACAAAGATTAGTCACAAGTTAATATGAATGATGATATTAAGCTAAGATTAGTGACAGATTAATATGAACGTTGATATTAAGCAGCAAATATGCATGCAACAATAGATTTTTTTATTTTTTACAATGCGATATTCTAAACTACATTAGACATTGGCCAACTGACCCAACCCCCACAACAGTAGAATATTTGGCAGTGGGATAGGTTGGCCATGAAGCAGACATGCTAGGAAGTTCCATGTGTGGTGTGGTGTGGTGTGGTGTGGCTCTCAACATAAAGACGCCCTTTTTATCTCCTCAATGCAAAAGTAAAGCCCCCCACAGCATATATATTCCTACACGAAGATTGCTTCCACCTTTTCATCTTTCCAACCTGTGTTGAATGTGGATATTCAATTATGAGATGGCCAGGCCTCGATGAGCAAACCCTATTTTTGGTTCCATGATTAACTCTCAGATAAATATTTTAAAGTACTATACATTTTGGTTTGCATATGAGATATGATCAATAATGGAGGAGACAATATTAAAGTTGTCAAGTGGATCACGTGTAGAGGGGACCTTCAACAATTTGCAGAAAAACCATGCTTTCTGTCTTCTTCTTTTTTGTAGAATTGATGATAATTCCACTAAGCAACAAATGAGCAGAAACGAAATTAGGAAGGCCACTCAACAACATTTTGGCTGACAATTATTTGTTTCCTTTTACATACTGAAGAAAGAGTGGTGGGGGTTAGGATTATCATGTACACATTGGAAAGACTAGGACCAAAACTCTTCCAATTGCTATCTAACTAGGTGCTGGAATCTGTTACGAACTTACGAGTTAACGAAACAGTCTCCTGAAACCATGAACTGAAAGCTCAAAAAAGCGGGATCTTCGAAAGCAAGCCTCTGAGATAACCAGAAACAGATTCCTCTATATGATGGCACAGCTGCTGTTGTCAAACGTGCGCTCCCGAACATGTGCATAATGATGTAATTGCAGTACCAAGTCTCTTATTCCACTGTCGGGTTCCACTACGAAGTATATGCGCATCGCCTGCACACAAAAAAAGGAATTGCATACTTGATGTTAATAGAAAAACTAAAGAGTTATGAAGCGAAGGAAAATATCGGATTGCTGTTCTTTGCATTTCATATGACCTAAGGAATTAACTACAGATTGGAAACTCTGGACTGTAACCTGACCCTCTGTGACTCCTTGCAGCTGAAAACACCCTCTCAACCATGCATTCATGTCGGTCTTCTCAATTCTAAATGCAGAAAGGGAATCAATATGCTTTCAACGTACTTACAACGGACAAATTTGAGGGTTCAGCTTACCGGAAACAATCACCTCTACCTCACCCTTGGCATGGAAGTTAACGCAGTAGGGGTCAAGTACATGATTCCCTATCTGAGCCCTTAGTCTCTATCACTTGTTCTTTAACATCACTCTTTTTTCCGGTTTTTTCTTCTGTTGTTTTCTGTAAAGAAATCATTTACATTTTCCTTTTGGGTCGAATAGCTGGACTACACACAACACAGGGTAGAGAAGAACTATCATGTCCTTAAACCCCTAATCCACCTTTGCCTGGATTTGAACCACTTTCTACCATATGCTTACAAAATGAAATTTCTTTATTTAAAGGAAACTTTATAGAAACTGAAGAAATCTTACTAGGTAAATGTTCCCGTCTAAACAAATATTCAGGTGAAGATCCGACGTTGTAAATGTTACCTCCTCATCTGTAGACAAATACCAAATCTATCAGATGTGCATTTTCTGAATCTACAACTAACAGATAAATACATTCTCCGAATAGAGCAGAAAGCTAGGAAAACACAAAGAAAAAATATAAAGGGGAAATCAATAAAGAAGAATAAGGCCTTACCATATTAAAGCCCTGGAAGACAGAATCTCAACAGCAGAGAATGCTGAGTGGAGAAAAATGATACTCTTTGCAGTCTGAGCTCAGAACAGTTCTTGTTAGCTTTGCAAATGTTCCTGATGTTGGTGTGATAGGCATCCACGCTCAACAAACCGTAACATAAGGTTGTCTGCCTCTTTGGAGTTTCCTTCTGACATCAGTCTCTTGGTCACCTTCTCACATAACTTCAAATCAGGAATCAGATTCCGATTGAACATTCGAGAAGCCACTTTGTATGCTGATAGAGGAGTCCCTTTTCTCAAATAACTATCCATAAGAACATGGCATGTCTTAGCATCAACTCTTGAAGCTGTTCTCAACACCTTACCCAGTAGTTTATCAGCCTCCTCAAGCTTCCCAAAACTACAAAGCTTCTCAATCACTTGATTATATGCTGTTTTGCAATTTTGCCTTAAGAACATCTTCTCCAATAATTTTACTAAATCGTCCACCCTACCCGTTTGACAATACCAGTGGATGACTGTCCTGTATGTGACTGGAGTAGGATCCAATCCCTTACCCAGCATCTCAATCATAAGTTTGGTTGCCTCTTGTATTCTACCTTTCTTTCCCAACGCATTGATCACTGTCGTATAAGTGATTGCGTCTGGATGTTTGTTGCTGAGATACATGTCATCAAGCAATGACAAAGCAGTTTCCAAGTCATCCTTTTGACAATATCCATGAATAACAGTTGTAAAATTGACAACATTAACAGCACACCCCTTGTTTAGACACTCCTCCATGAAACGTTTAGCCTCATTTATCTTCCCTTCTCGGCAGAGAGACTGAATTAGTAAATTAATTTCAACTGGGTTAGGGAGAAAACCCTTATTAACCATTTCTCTGACCATATCACAGGCCTCAACCAGTTTCCCTTCCCTACGGAGTCCATGCATCAGCACACTATAAGTGATGGCATTTGGTGTCCACCATTCTTCCTCGCTCATGTTCATCATCTCTCTTGCCTCTAATGAGTTCTGACTACGACAAAGCCCGTTTAATAAGGCCGTATATGATACGGTATTTGGCTTGCAACCATGCTTGTACATGTGCTGAAGCATCTTTTTAGCTTGATCCACCTTCCCAAGCCGGCAATACCCATTGAGAACAGCAGTATATGTTACAACATCTGGTGTGCAACCTTTTGAGAACATTTCATTCACAATTTCTTTTGCCATGTCAATCCTACCATCCTTACAGAACGAATGTACTATTGCACTATACCCAACCTTATCGAACCGAAATCCCTTCTCTTCAGCTTCCCTTAAAAACTCAACAGCCTCATCTCCATAACCATGCTTAGAAAGCATATGGACAAGATTATTATAAGTAACCTGGTCTGGTAATAATCCACCATCCTTGGTCATCTTCTCAACCAATTCCCTCACTTCTTTGACCCTCTTCTCCTTACAAAGGAAACCCATCACAGTATAGTAACTAACTTTATCCGGAGGGCACCCTCTGCTTGGCATTTCATCAATCAGCTCCAATGCATCTTCAACACGATGCACCTCACAATACCCCTTTATCAAACAATTATAAGTGACAACATTTGGTGCAATTCCAACAAGTTGCATCCTTTCCAAGACCCTCAACGCCTTCTCCAACTTATTCCCCATCACCAATGCGTGAATTGCAGTGTTACATATTGACACATTAAGCTCAACCCCAGCTTTCTGCATCAACGTCAACACACGCATGGCATGCCTCAACTTGCTGGCCCGGCTATACGAAACCATCACATAGCCAAAAGCTTCAGGGCTACGCTCAATTCCCCTGCGGGCCATGAGCCGAAGAACCCTCTTAGCCCCTTGGCACAACTTAGTCTTGCTAAGCACCTCAAGCATTGCATGGTACACAACTGGGTAATGTTTATACCTCCACTGCCTATCAGCCCAATAGAAAAATTCCAGAGCAACTCTCTCATCAGCCTGAGACCTCAACACAGCACAAACTTGCCTTGCCTTCAGGCTTCTTAACAAGTTCCTTAATTGTCCTTCAAGCTTTGGGTTCCAGCCTGACCTAAGCTCAAGTAACCTGCAAACCTCTCTCACCAATGGGTGCCTAAACTCATCTTCATCTCCTTCAACTCTAACAAAATTTTCCTTTTGTTCATTAACCCTATTCGACGAACCCAACACCATTAAATCGTCGTCGTCGTCATCACTATCCTTTTCTTCTTCACCATCAGGCTCTTCAATGTCATCAAAGATATCAAATTTAGAGCTTTGATCATCTTCGCAATCATTCTTCGTACTTCCTAAGAAACTCCAGTCCCCCAAATCTGGAGCACCCAATTTCCCAACTCCATCATACCCATTACTGGTAGCATCAAAATCATCACTTTCAACAGAACGAGCTTTGATTTTAGAGTCAAAATCAGAACTGGGGTCAGAGCTTGTTGAAGAAAATGATGAGAAAAATGCAGCAAGCTCCACACAGGTTAATGGGTGCTCAAAAAGATGGCTGGTGGGTTCAAAGGCAATTGCTTTTCCGATTCTAAGGTAACAACTACGACCAAAGAACATTGCAGTTACTATTCCAAACAAAAGATGAATAAAGAAAACCAATCTGAGATGAACAATTCCACCAGCGAATGTGACTAGAAAATGTTTGTACGAACTAGGTAGGAACTGTGAAGAAGAGGAGAAAAGAAATGAAACAGGAAAACGGCGAGCAGGTACGAAACGACGACGTATTCATACGTTACGGGCTGAAAGTATAAAAAGGCGCGGGCTCGCGATGCATAACAGTCCCAAGCCAAGCCGGTCCACAACAATGTCAGCCATGTTCTTTCGGGCCTTTTTTTTTTTTCCTCTTGATTATGGTCCCTATTTTTTTATAGGCTTGATTACTGTTTTTCAATGGGCTCGAATATCGGTCTCAATTTATTATTTGCAACTCAAATCTTCGCACTTAACTCAAATTCTTTAATTTATTACGTCATCAACTTAACGATTTTGTAAATAGAGTAGACGGGAAATGGTAAAATAGGACATGAAGTAAAGTTCAGTGCGAAATTTTGAATTGTAAGGAATAATTTGAGAGCATGAAGAACAATCATTAGCAGAAAATTAAGAACAAAAATGGAAAAACGTAGAAATTAGAAAGCCTATTTATTTATTAAAGCTTAATAAGATTCTTCAGTCAAGTTCTGCCAATTAGGGGTGGGCATCTCATCCAAATTATCCGTATATTGATCGTACCGTATGGACGGTTTAGTTAAATAATTATTTTTTAATTTTAATTATTCTAATCCGATTCGTACTGAAATGTTTGGTTTAGTTAACGAGTAACAATATCCCTAATTCGATTGAAACCTGTACTGATCCAATATTTATACTTATTTTATTATTTAAATACAAAATAAGAAATCAAAGGTAAACACAATCAGCATTTTGTATCACTCATGTATCACCTTTGTATCACTACTTTATCACCATTGTATCGCTTCTTTATCACCCGGGTACTGTAGCACTTTTAGTTCAGAGAAGAATTTATGAACTTCCTTTGTTTTCCAATTTCGACCTTTGTCCCATTTTTGACTTGTAGCTTTCCAACTGTTAATCCAAATTTTATATTCTTTATATGATTGGATTCAACATTAAAAACTAAAGAACCCAACATGTACCAAATGTCAAAATCGGTTACATAAGAACACTCTAATTGTAGTGGCTCAAGACGCATGATCTTTTGCATTCATTTGTGTTCCCTTTTCTATTTTTATAATCTGTTTAATAGTGTAGAAGTAGATTCCCAAATGAAAGAGCAAGTGGCTTTCAGTACATCTTGAGTACATAATAAATGATATATTGACTAAGTTATTTGATTTCGTACTTAGATTAATTAGACTATTGGATTTTTATATTTTACAAGGATAATTTGGTGTATTTGTTCAAGAACTTATGTTAGGTGAAAGTATTATAAATTGTATTTTTATTAGTATGTTTTTATCACGGTACTATTGGCGTACCGAATCAATCCGAACCGAATATTAAGTTAACCGATCCAAAGTCAATCGAAGTCTTTAGTTTGATTAACGGAAGAGAAAATAGTCTACTGAAATTTTTGGTTTGGTTAACAGAGAGCCCTTTAAAATTCTGAACCGATCCGTCCCTATGCCTAAAAGCTAATAATTCTACGCCAGGTAGATAGATGCCCAACCGATAAAACCGTTACATTTCCCGGGCATGTGCAGACCAAATATTCCCCTTCCTTTGCGCCACCTCTCTCCTCTCTCTCTGAAAAACTGAAACCCTCTTCTTCCGACTTAGACTCTCCAATGGCGGCCGAGGACCACAATGGCGGTCGATCGGCGCTGATCTTCCTCGGGACTGGGTGCTCGAGCGCCGTCCCCAACGCAATGTGCCTGATCCAGCCCTCCAATCCCTGCGACGTATGCCCTCAGGCGCTCACCATCCCCCCGGACCAAAACCCTAATTACCGGTAATTGAAGTTCAGATCTGTCATTGTGTACTTGTTTGTTTGCCGAGAATGTTGAGGAAAATGAACATTTGAGTGATTTGTGTTTGCAGGTGCAATACATCGCTTTTGATTGATTATTGCTCAAGTGATGGAAAGCACAGTTATATATTGATTGATGTTGGAAAGACGTTCAGGGAGCAAGTGATTCGATGGTTCACTCGCTATAAGATTCCTAGAATTGATTCTGTGAGTTTTCTTTATGCACATTTTTGTCTCTCGCGTGTATGGCTAGTTATTATTTTCAGAACGTTTGGGCTTCAATGTTTTTGACGAATGCATGTTTATTTTATGGATTGGATAGTTGTAAAAGAGTTCCCACTTTTTTATCAACATCATACGTTTCGTTTTGTATTTGAAAGCTTGTTAATGCTGGGACTGTATAAGAACTAATTTTTGTATCAACTGCAGATTATTTTGACTCATGAACACGCTGATGCAGTTCTTGGTCTGGATGATATACGTGCCGTTCAACCATTTAGTCCCACAAATGACATTGACCCTACTCCCATCTACCTAACTCAGTATGCACTGGAGAGGTACTTTGGGTGAACTTGGATATTGTTCTGTTCAATCGTTTTGACCAACGTCAACTCCGTTTGCTTTTTTGTTTTATTTAGATATAATTGTGATACTTATGACCATATGATTCTTTGATGTGCTCTTGGTATCTTGTTGCTCCATCTGTTTTCATGGAAATAGTTCCTAGAACCAATTTTTTTGGATGTATGAATGTAAAATTTTCCACCATTATAGATTGGTCATGGCAACATGAGCCTTAGTCTGCTTACATGAATGCAGACTCAAAACTTAGGATTCACATCATAAAATGAAAATTTTAGATGTTACTCATGAGAAGACTACTCTAGGCATTTTATCTGATTTTTTTTTTTTGTCATTCAGTTTTTATGTCTAAATTGCAGTTCACCTTATTATGCTTGTTGTACCTTGAATAGCATTTCAGAGAAATTTTCTTACTTGGTGAAGAAAAAAGTTGAGGAAGGAAAAGAACTGAGACGAGTAGCACAGCTTGACTGGAGGATAATTGAGGAGAACTGTGAAACATCGTTTGTTGCATCTGGCCTACAATTTATTCCTTTGCCAGTTATTCTCGCCAAACCCTTTATAGTCAGACATGAATATCCTATTCCTTGTTTATCTTCTAGTTTCTTATTGCTATTCCTCAAATGTAGGTGATGCACGGGGAAGATTATGTCTGTTTGGGTTTTCTGTTTGGTGAAAGATGTAGAATAGCTTACATATCTGATGTTTCTCGCTTTCCTGCAAGCACAGAACATGGTGAGTGTTGATTAGTTCCTTGTACTTTAGGGATATTCCTTATACTATCAGTGCACATCGAAGTTTATACCTTAATTAGTTATGTACCCTTAATCATCTCAATCATGATTAAGAGAAATCTGAACTCTGTTAGAGTATTTGAAGATAAGATGTTTAGGATCCCTTAGAACATCGTCCTATTATCTGAGTTGGTTTTGCCCTTTCTACTCCCAACTTCACCAATAAAGCACTGGGAGAAACCCTTTACAAAGGAGAGTATGAATATTCTGGGTCATTTTATCCCTTCCATTTTAGTTTGTACTTTTGCGATGAATCCATTAATTTATGCAGAGATAATGATGACAGGTATATCTATCACCTTTAATAATAAAAATGTTTTATTAAGTGAATCAGTTCATTGGCTACGGGGATTGTTCCTTATGGAGAAGCATTTCGTAGAAACTTTCTCAGCCTGTAGTAGGGACAATCAGTTTTTGACATAAAAGGTCTTCCCAAAACATCTCGTGGTGTGAACACCCTATGTAGTTCACCATTGTTTTTCTCACGTGTAAATATTGATGTGCTCTGTCATTTTCACGGCATTCTCTGTGTTTATTTGAAGAAAAAAAAAACATACATTTGAATTTATATTCTGGCCTAATTTTGCAGTTATTTCAAAAGATGGAGCTGGGCAGTTGGATCTTCTTATCTTGGACACTCTATACAAGGTCAGTAGAAAGTCTGTTTTCACACACCGTCATTTGTACAGTTATACTGACCCTTGTAGGCATGGAGATTGCATTTGGGATAATATGCATGCCATGCAAGTAAAATAATGTCTCTCAACAGATGCAAATGTACAAGCGCAAGCATAGACACATGTGCACAAACTCACAGTGCTTGGTTCTAGTCAGATTTTTTTTTTTGTCAGTCAGTTCTACATTCTCTTTTGGAAATTTTATAGGGAAAACTATATCTTTCATTTCATTCTGTTACTTATCCATCGCAACTCTCCTGAGCACAAGCATAGACACATGTGCACAAACTCACAGTGCTTGGTTCTAGTCAGATTTTTTTTTTGTCAGTCAGTTCTACATTCTCTTTTGGAAATTTTATTGGGAAAACTATATCTTTCATTTCACTCTGTTACTTATCCATTGCAACTCTCCTGCTTTTCATCCACTCACTCCTTCCGCCACCAACCCCACCATCTTGCTTTCTCTATTTGGGCAGCCCCTAAGTCAAGGATCCTGCCATGGCATCCCCCAATTGATGTTTTTCCATTTATGTTGACCTTTTAGGTAATTTCGTACAGTGTCATTCTAAAATATAATTGTATATTTTTATTCACACATCAATCTGCATTCATGCATGTTAGCGGAAATTGTGATTTCAAACTCTGCTAACTCATGTTCGTCCTTTCATTTTTGGAGCTTAGCTCGTCTTGCATTTCCTATTATTCTCAAGGCATATTCTTCATAATCTGCTTTGCCTTTTGTTTCATTGCAGACTGGATCCCATAATGTTCACCTTTGCCTCCCGCAGGTTTGTTTTTTGCACTAAAAAACATCTGCATTTCTTATAGCCAAATGTTCATGTTTGTGAACTGTAATGTTTGCAGACTCTTGAAGCTGTGAAGAGGATTTGTCCAAAACAAGCCTTGTTAATTGGAATGACTCATCAATTTGATCATCACAAGGACAATAAATTTCTTACAGAATGGTCTGAGAAGTAAGAATTATGATCACTTTCCTTTATTCAATTGGATAGCGGTCCCAGTGTTCTGTGGCATTGATCTTCTAGCTTTAGTTTAGAGTTAGGACTAAATTGAACAATGGTACTACTTTTGTAATGCACTTTCTGTATAGGTGAGAAATATCACGACTTAAGAAACTTATGCTTTCAGCATTTCTGTTGTTTGAATATAGGGAAGGGATACCAGTGCAGCTTGCGCATGATGGTTTGAGAATCCCCATAGACCTTTGATAAGGTTTGCTTTCATTCTTAGAACTCTTTCAATTAGTCGGGCAATTTGTGAATTTTGGTATTAATGCAAGTACAAATTTGAACTGCAAAGAATACTGAGAACTTAATTAAATGGACAATGAAACATCTGGTTCTCATTATAACTTATTTAAAGCATATAATATGACAATTTCGTTTCATTTGTTTCCTTTATTTTGTTCTTTCTTTTCTGTTCTCCTTTCTGTATATCTGCTCCCTCTTAACCTAGCAAAATTGTACATCCATTTTCATCGATGGAGTGATGTTCCTCGTTGAATCCTTTCCTCAACCTCCCTCCAACTGAGACCACATGCATCTTTGAGTTTTGAAGTGATGTGAAATGAGAAGTCATAACAGTGGGATTCGAATTGAACAGCATTAAAGTCGTTTGAACTAATGAATTAAAATAATATTTGTGTCTCGTGTTATCTTTGCAAATATCAATAGAGTTGTAAGATAAACAAAACTGCTCATGTTTTTCGATGTTATACATGCAGGTTAATGTAGGTGTGTTTTAAAATGATATATATTATGTACTATATACAGTTTCCATCCCATGTTGATGGGAGGAAGCAGATGCAATATTCTTGAAGCTCACCTTATCGTTGCAGTGACTGAAGAGGTAAAATAATTTTACAAGGATTAGGAAATTTATGCTCGAAACACTAGAATTATGATGGTGAGCATTGTAATTTTCTTACCCGGTGATTGATGAATCATAGTTATTGAAGAGAATGGATATAAATTTGGAGGCACCTCAAAATTTAAAGCTATGTTAGAGCAAGTGGAGCTCTTGGAAACACTTGCATTAAATATTTCTTTTCTTTTTTTTCCACTCAGTTAAGTGTTCAATCCCTGGAATTCTGTAGTTACTTCTTCTTTGTAACAACAATGGAGGGAGAGGAATTTGAATGTATGACATCTTTCATCGATGGAATAAAACGTCGCACTAAATTAAGAGCTAATTGGTAATAATTTGAATGATGTGATAATTGCGGTGTATAAATTTGATAAACGGATTTGGTAAGCCTCACGAGGAACAATAATTGAACACTATTAGTATAAGGTTTCGAAGCTTGAGCCAAATTATAATTATGTTTTAGGCAAAAGCTTCTATTAACCATCATTATATGGCCATTCTATGCCCATGAGTAAAAGCCAAAACATGCCATGCGAAGTAGACTTCGTTGGAGCTGTGGAAGCATGGCGCTTTGATGACGAAATTTCAGGAATCTCTGGGACGGTAGAGAGATTAGACAGAGACTTGTCCCTTTTTAGAAGGCATCCTTCTGGTTGACCAGTCAAACCCATTGTTTTTGTGACTGCCAAAATTCTCGAAGTAATCAAATTTCTTCGGATTTCAGTGCTGACATTGCCATCATGACTCATTTTCATTGTCCAATCAGAACGTGCCACCTGTGTGTAATATGTTAAAGAACATTAATTTAAAAAATTTCATGAAATATAGGTTTTATTAAGTTTCTTAAAATATAATATCGCTTGCTTGTATCCATAAAAAATATTGGTCAAAGAACATAAGCAGCTCACTAGTTTTTCCAACTACAAGGTCCTGGAAAGTCTTGACCCGACAACACCCATTTCTAATTATATTTCTCAATAATACTTGATATAAAAAGAGAATTCGAAAACATATTCCATGCATTTTTTAATGTTTTTATAGTTAAATTTAGAACGTAAATTCAACAACTCCACCCATCTAGAAAGAGTCAAAGCATGCACAAGACCAAATTCCAAGTCTTTTATATTTTGTTTTCTTTGATGTCTCCCTTTCACTGCTTCAACACAAGCCAAAAGAAGAAGACCAGGCAAACTGCAATGACCCGTCGATCAAGTTTCATTTTTCAAGCTTTCCAACCACCCTTTACTTAATAAGGCCCGTAACTTTCCCACACTTTCTCGTCGAAGTTTCTAGTTTTCTGCTTTTGATTATTTTCTTGCCAACCAAACACACATACACACAGAGAAAGTTAGAGGAGAAAAAAAAAAAGAGAGAGATTAATTTATGGCATGCTTTGTGCCTTTCAACAACAGGAATTTGGACATAAGTATCTTTGTGTTCAGACCAACTGTTGTGCTGGTTGATGACCTTCTTAATGCCCTCAAACAATTCTCTTTGTGCACTGAGTCTCTTGGCTGTGTACAAAGCTCCATCTTGCAGAGCATCCATGGAAATATGGTATGTTTAAAACAATTTTTTTAAAATTAATTTCATCTCAATAATTTGAAACTAATCTGGTTGGTTTCCCCTTGATATTCAGATCATATGGTTTGGAGCATGGCTGAAGAGATCTTGTGAAAACAAGGACTCATTGACTGCAAGCCTTGTAAGTCCAGTTACTAGCTACTCATATCTTGCTCTTATAAATTCTTTTCCAGTTCTTTTTTTTTTCTTTTTTTTCAAGACAAAAAAGGTAGCTTGCTTGCTCTGCTCCATGTATATGTATGATGTGTCATATGTGTATGCCATTACGGTGTCGTTTTAATCTTGACATATGCATATTACTTGGAGATGGAGCAAACCAACTAAGCAATCAATGGATTTTACTCCAAAAACTTGTTTTATTAAACTTGGACTTACTAATTGAACTTGAGGAATTAATCCAAAGTCAGTTCCATCAAGAACAAAGTTTAAAATATCTAATAGCCAGAAATTAGGGTTAGGATTTTAGTGCTTCTATCTTGCATTCCTCTATAAAATTGTTCCCTCTTAATATGCATATAAAGTAATGTGTGTGCATTTGTGTGCACATTTCTTCATGCCTGCTGGATTGCCAACGAGTGCGTTGTTGAAATCCAACAAGCTACGAAACGCTTTTGATCATGTCACAATTTTGAAAGTCATCAAAACCATTCATTGCAAATAACTTTTTTCCCCCATGTTTCTCATAGCCAGTGATTTTTCTTCCCATTCAGCTCTCAATGTTAACGACCATGTCGGGCATGGCTATCTTACTCGAACACTCCTTCTTTGACGCGTACGCCGGAGAATCAAGAGACGGGTCTTGTGCTGCAAAATTTTGCAGAGGCGACACAGTGTCAATGAGCACAGCGGTTGTCAATGGCGGCAACATGAAAAACGTCTCTTACGCATGCTTAGCGATGTTCAAGTCCGGTTTCCAGAAGATGGAAGGCGTGGCTGCCGGTGTTTGCTTGAAATGCCAAACCAAGCCAAGAATTGCTTCTCTTTTTGTGTGGAAGTCTCTGCAACATTGTTACTCATGGATTCTAAATTCAGACCAGAGAAAAGCAATGCTGCCCTATCTCGAAAGCGTGTCAATTGAGATGAAGTACGACATCTTTCGAGTGGTGTATGTTAGTGGTGACAATGATCTCAAGTTTCAGTTCTTCTATCCTCCTCATCAAATGTTGGAACAAACAGCTGGAGGAGAAAGCAAAGAAGAAGGGCAGCTCATGCAAAGCACTTCCATATTATGATCGTACTTAATTAATTAATTTGAGTACTAGCTGGCCACTGATCATATCATAGTTTTTTTGTAAACCCATCGATATTTATTTATAAAGATATTTAGTCATATACCCATTCTTAGCACTAATAATATAGACAAACCCTACACCATTTAATTTCTATAAACAAACCCAAAAAATGACAACTGGCCTATTGAATTTAATTTTGATTATTAAATTACTTTGATGCCTTATTGAGTGTTTTGGGTTTTTTTATGATGAGGTTTTGGGGTTGGGTTTGTTTTAAGAAATCAATGGCAGTTTTGTAATTTAAAAGAAGTTAAAAGCCTTTTTGTTATGTTGTAAATGGACTTTGTGTGTGTTTCTAAAGTCTATTTCATATATGGTATTTTTATAATTCGGGCTCCTATATTGGGTATAATAGTGAATCTCCCATATTTATAAATAATATATACCATTGTTACAAAATCTTTTTTCTTTAACTTGCAAGGCAAGTAATAAAAATATGACAAAGTTTGTGAATGCATTGATTCGTTAAGATTAGAATATAAACAAGGGAAAACTTTGGCCTTGTGTTCGAACCCTCCTCTCTAATATCGCCGGTATGAAAAAAAAACAAAAAACAAAAAATTTGCCAGCAAATTCTGCATTGTTTTGCAGACAATTCGACATCAATATGGAAATTGTTTTAAGGACCCAATTAAGTAGTGGGTAGCTAGCCAGCCAATCTAAAGGCATCCACTAAACTAAAGCTTGGTTTGATGCCGGCATGCATATTGCTTGTGTCATATTTTAACATTTGATGCCCCTTACAGTTTGGGATAGTCAAAAGTGCAGGCCAATATTGCATGACTTTTCAATGATTTTATGACCCTATTGGCTTAAAATCTCTCGAAGAAAATTATAACCAAACAAATTGTCAAACTTTCCAAGACAAATCACCTTTGTTAGGTATATATCCCTTTGCTTTCTCTATCTCTATCTCTATCTCTATCTCTCTTTAAGAAACTAATGGCCTGCAATGAAATGCATCCAACTTTAAGTTCCTTAAAACAAGTTGTAAACCATAAACTAATGACTGAAAATCAAAGCTAAACCAACCTTATCCTTGTGTTGAGGGAAAAAAAAAATAATAATAAGGGGATCGAATAAGAATTAGCTTTTAAAAAAAGTGCTTCACATGAAAACAAAAGCTATTAAAAATTTCAAAGATTAGAGGCAAAGCGGCAAGCTTAAGGGACCCATAAATCAGAAAGGCAAAAGGTCATTGTGCCCTTTTGATTCATTTCATATAGGGTCAAAACAAACTTAGTATCCTCTGCCCCAAAAGGCCTAACACACTCCCTCTCCCTCTGCCTAGTTTGTTCTTCTTTTTGTTGTATTTAAATCTCTTTTGATGCCGCAATATGTGCAAGTATTGATGCTGATGTAGTTTTCCGTGGACAGCCATGTGGGTGCTTTTGCTAGGTCTTTACCCTGGTCTACAAGTTCTACAGCCAAAAGTTGGTAAAAGTTTGAATTATGTGACTAAAGGAAAGGAAACTAGGGCACAATTTAAAATTGACTACTACTTCAGTCTTTTTGCCTATACAATATGGAATATAATTTACTTTTGCTAGGTCCTCTACCTATACCATTGATCCTAAGCTTTTACAGAACAAAACCTCTCATCAGTGCATTGATAGCGAGTTGTGTTTCCTAGGCCTAATTGTGGGTTCACCCTATGATCCTACAATCCGTCATCCGTTTGAGTGTAAATTGAAGTGATAATTATCCATACGTGCATGAGTGATTGTCAGCTGTTTGTGTATTATGAAAATTATAAAACTCACGATGCATCAACAATCACAATTCATGTAAATTTTAGAGAATCTCATCCAATATAAGCATCACATATCATAAGAAGGGAAATCATAAACAATCAACATAAGAAAATACATGTACATATTACTACAAATAAAAATATATATAAATATATAAAAAAAGAGTTGAAGGTAAACACGTTTTAATGAAATATTAAAAGCACAAATACTCCCATGATTTGCCACCCAACGAATGAGGCGTAAACAAACATGATGAACACAAGAAAAAAAGAGCAAAACGGGGTGGTTAGCCGACTTCTCTTATCTCTGCCATGTGGAGAATGTGGTCAGAGAAGTAGGCTAATGAAGCAACATTTCAGTCAATTTTTCAAACATTTGGAAGAGCCAAGTGCTCACATTTCATCCATGGATTGATTATGCATTTGGACCATTTGACAAGGAAAACACAGCATGTGATGAGTAGGGCTACAAGTCACAATCCAATGGATCCATTGCAAATGTAAATTCACACATCCACATTTCAAGTTCTGCTTGAAGAATGTTTTTGGGGCTCAAATTCTTTTCTTAATAAATTGAAGAATCGTAAGTGTAGGACCACAAGGATTATAGAAACAAAAACAAAAGATGGGGGGGGACCCCCTTACTTTGCCTCCTAGGGGATAATGTTAATGTATTTTGTTGATGGAGTAGTAGGGTTATATATAGTGAGGGGGAAAACCAAGAGTGTTGGGATTCGAAGTCCTATTTACATAGATATTAGTATAATTTTTTAGTTAATAAATATGTTGTTTAAATATTTTTGTATACAAGCAATTGTAGAAATTACTCTAATCGATCAGAGGAGGGTTTCAAACCAGTCTCTTTTAAGTGATTTGTTATGTATGTGTAGGTAAAGTCAAGAATTAGGTAAATTAATGGCCCAAGGAATAGGGTTTAAGGGTAGGAAAAAACTTTCTTGTAACGGGAATAACACTATTTTACTTTTTCCGGTGATATCATTGCGCTATTAACTGAGATAGCAAAAAGCGATATTCCCATTACATGAAAGTCTCGCTCGCTCCTTTAGCAGGGTGAAGGCAAAATAAAGGGTAGTCATTATCACCATTAATTTATAAGACAAGCTTATAGAATTCTGAACCCCACAAGACAACCCCCAATGCAATGACCCATCTGACTCCGACTGGACACTATTCAATGCGCAATCACTCACATTCACATTAATATATAAAAATGAGTCTGCATTAGACTGGAGCATGTGTTTGCCAAAAGTATCTTTGACACTTTGACTGCTGACCTCACCTTCACCCTCAGGAATAATGTTCATTCTTTTTCTTACACAAATTCATTTTTCATGTTCCTCCAATCACATCTCTTCAACTAATCGCCCTTTGGCATTCTTCTTCTTTAATTTCTTTTTATATCAACTATGTCCACTGGTAGTTGGAGTGATGTGAGATGTTATTTCTAGCCGTTAAATATCTATGTGGCACTTTTGACATATCGGTTGGAGATGCTCTTAGGAGGGTGAAGGCAAAATAAAGGGTAGTCATTATCACCATTAATTTATAAGACAAGCTTATAGAATTCTGAACCCCACAAGACAACCCCCAATGCAATGACCCATCTGACTCCGACTGGACACTATTCAATGCGCAATCACTCACATTCACATTAATATATAAAAATGAGTCTGCATTAGACTGGAGCATGTGTTTGCCAAAAGTATCTTTGACACTTTGACTGCTGACCTCACCTTCACCCTCAGGAATAATGTTCATTCTTTTTCTTACACAAATTCATTTTTCATGTTCCTCCAATCACATCTCTTCAACTAATCGCCCTTTGGCATTCTTCTTTTTTAATTTCTTTTTATATCAACTATGTCCACTGGTATTATGCCGCTGTTATGGGGGGAGCCATTTCTTTTTTTATTTCCCACCAATTAGGTATTTATTTATAAATAAAAGATACAAGTTTATTTATTTATTTATTTATTTATCTATAATATTAATGATGTATGATATGATTTTAAGAAAAGTGGCAGAGTCTCACATCATATGTGCAGAAAATCTTCTGCTAAATACACACATGATCTTGATGGAAGGAGGAAGAAGAAGAAGGAAGCAACAAACAACCATCCAAAATATATTCCCGTGATTATTAATTGATAATTTCCTTTTTTATTTGGTATATATCAAGGGGAAGAACACACACAAATATGAACTTAAGATCCTTTTTGGGCTAAAGAAAAAGACAACGCGCAGAGATTGTTCACATGATCATTCAATAAGAAAAAACGTAACCTTTCACCATATTAGTAGAGTGTCCCATGAAGCTTTCCAAAGGGTTACTGAAAATTAATGTAAGAAGTAACTAGTTCCTAACTTAATTATGTGATTTTGTTTAGGATAACATAAACCGTGATTGATTTTTAGCACATTATGCAAAACCGATGATACCCATTGTTTTATAATCTAGCAATTGGTTTAGTGGTAGTCGTCTTTATTTAATTGAATAATATCTTTTGTAATGAGTTTAATACTTGATTATAAACAATCTATAGTCTATTACGATTACGTAAGTTTGTTCTTGCAAAGATTCCACCCTTTTTTAAAAGAAAATCATACTTACTATTTTGACTTAGACTGAGTTTAGTTACACAATTTGCCTCTAGATTCAAATCACCAACTTGTTTAATTGGCTGCCTGCCCTTGGTTAGGTTCATCAACCAATTTCAAATTTCGCATGAAATGAAACAGAGCAATTGGGAGAATTGATTTGCAAATGCATTATTAATATAATTTGGTTTTGTTCAAACTTCAGAGGTGGAATAATTGGGAGGAAGGTGGGGACCATCGAAAGTTCAAATAGACAATCAGTCCAAATATCAAGGTGATAATCCATTAAGGGAAAGCTTGATTTATGATAAACTAAAGCAAAATTAGGGGGCCACTAATTAGGTGATTAGATTGGCCACTAAACATAATGGTAATTTTTTGTGATTGATTGAGTCTGGCCCATTTGCTTTCCACAGTAACTATGTGGAGAAAATTGAAATTCTACTTTTCATCATTGCCACTGTTCAAAACCCTCTCTGCCTTTAATCATTTCCATGCTTACCTTTGTCCTCTTGGTAAAAAACAATCAAAGAAAAAATAGAACACAAAAATTTAAATTATTTTAGAGAGTAAAAAAAACAAAAAGGGCAAAATCGGCAATTACTCGTTTTGGTCCGGTGGAAAAGCCCGCTAACCACCATTTAAAGAGGTCGGCAAAGAATGGAAGTTACCCGCTGCAGATTTTGCCACGTCATATGAGGCCCACCATACGTGGGTCCCAGTGATGACGTGCCAAGATCAGAAATAAGTACAGCACGGCTTGTGTTGCAGGGGAGCTCAACTAAACAAAAGATCATCCAAGTTAATAAGAAGGAACTGTGAAACTCGCCTGTCTTTGTCTGCCTACAAAAACAGTCAAAATACACACAGCGAGAGAGAGAGAGAGAGAGAGAGAGAGAGAGAGAAGACTGAGACTCATGTTTCCACCCATTTTAAAGGTCTCGCTTTCCTTCTTGTTACTCCTCTCAATATGATAATATTGTAGAGAAAAAAAGAAACTTCTTAGAGAGAGACAGACAGACAGACACAGAGGCAGAGAGAGAAACAGAGAGAGACAGAGTTAGGGAGAGATCTAATGGAGTACGAGAGGATACACAAAGTTCAGGTTAGTTGCTAACTTTTGTGCATGAAAGAAAAACAAAGACCCATGCTCCCCTTTTTTATTTCATGTTCTGTTTTCTCTTTGGTTATGGGGTGGTTGTTTTTTTTTTTTTTCCTGAATGATTTTTTTTTGGGTGTGGTGGTTGTTTCTAAAAATGGGGTGGTGGGGAAATGAGAAAATGCACACAAAAACCATGAATTTTGACTGGTTTCATCCTCCACTGTCCTTACTTAAATTTGGTTTCCCCTTTGCTTCTTCATTAAAATATTTAATTAGTAGGTAATTCTATTTCTATCATTTATTAATTAGATATTTTTGTTTTTGTTTTTCCTGTGTTTATTGTGTTCAGAGAGGTTTAACTTGACAGTATGAATCTAGCGGGAACAGAAAAGAACTTGACATTAAGAATTAGGGTGATTTGAAGAATAGATTGTGAAATGTTTATCAGACTTGATTATGGCCTTTATACTGTTTTCAGAGATTGTTGATTTTAGAAAGAAAAAGAAAAACTCAAAATCATGATACCATTTTGATGTTTGGTTCGAAATTGAGATGATTTAGAATGAATGAAGTGATATGATTAATAGAGTTTGCTTTATCAGTTGATTCTTTCACAAAGATTGTAACTTTTACCATCTATTTTTAGTAGTGGGCTGAAGGGTAATAATGTTTTCTGTCTCCTTTTTCTTTTCCTTTCCAGACTGGTATTATTTCCCCTAGTAAGCTGAGGATGAAGCTCATGGGGCCTCACCATCATAGAAAGAAGGATGGATCAAACAGTAACTCCTCAAGAACTTCTCCTTCCAAGCTTGATGATTCCGAGTTTTTCAAAAACAGCTTGTTAGACCCCATGAATGGAGACGAGGAAGGTCGGTCTCTCTTCTTATTTGTTTTGATAGTAATTAACTTTGTTTGCCATCAGAACCCTAGAGCATCTGTTGAATAGGTTTTATGTGCATTTCTCAGGCGTATGTTGTCTAAACTGTTTACTCATTAAGTGTTATGCTGTCCAGTTGCATCTTCCAGTTTAGAAGTTCTGTCTACAAATTTGTCTAGTGAACCGGCATTGGACCTGAGAGAAAGTGATCAAACTTCTTGCCAAATGAAGGAGTCATTGCCACGAGAAAATGGTGATGCCGTTCGTGTTAGATTGCAACAATGTACAAAGGGTGACAGTGGTAGTTCGAGTGCTATTCATCCCATGAGAGTAATGGAAGATGAAAATCTTGACTATGATAGTAATGCTAGTTCATCCAGTTTTGAATTTCATAAAGGGGAGAAGTCAGTACATAAGCACATTTCAAGAGCACTCTCAAGAACTATGCCGTCTAAGTGGAATGATGCTGAGAAATGGATAATGAATAAGCAAATTGTACAAGCTAATTTTCCTAGAAAGAGTGCTTTACAAAACCAAACAATTCGGTTGCCTGTGACAAATATGGTGAGGGTGGCTCCCGAGTCTGCTAATTATGATTATAAGCTAAATGGAAGAGTAGCAGACACAAAGCGGGTCGATTTCTGTCAGCCTGCATCACATATTGGATTCGATAAATTCTCTTTTGTTCCTTCTGTGCCTCAATCGAGTTCAGGTCAAGCTTGTGGGAATGCTTTGATTGATGCGTCCTCACAAAGTAAAGATTTAATGGAAGTGGGCCACAGGAATTTTCCCTGTTCGAAGAGTACTGTCGAAAATAATACAGGTTCACTTTCATTCGCTTTAATAACTTCACATTGTTACTTTGTTATTTGATATAAGATTTGTCTTTCTTTAGCAGAGTTACAGGGTGAAGGATTCATGGGAAATTTACAATAACATGTTCAATGTGCAAGCAGAGACACAGGAATTTAACCTTTTGTTTTTCTGTTTATGCAGGCACTGCTGCCATAAGATCAGTCTCAATGAGAGATATGGGAACAGAAATGACACCTATCCCAAGTCAAGAGCCTTCAAGGACTGCTACTCCTGAAGGGGCAACAACCCCGCTCCGCAGTCCAACTTCTTCAATCCCGTCAACTCCTCGAAGTGGTGCACCAGCTCCCACACCTACCACTGATGGGGAAGCACAACCACAAGTTGAAAACAACAAGAAACAATTGTCAGAAGAAGAATTAAAGCTCAAGACAAGGAGGGAGATTGTAGAACTAGGTGTTCAGCTTGGTAAGATGAACATTGCTGCATGGGCAAGTAAAGATGAGCAGGAGAAAAAATCTGCTGCCGAAAAAATTGATATGGCGAAACTTGAGCGGGTTGAATTTGAAAAACGTGCAGCTGCATGGGAGGAAGTTGAGAAATCTAGACATACTGCAAGGTTTCTTCTTTAACCCAATAACCCACATACTTTGAGAAATTCGATTGGATCACTTTTTCCTTTTCTTCCTAATAGAGAACTGTTTTGATTTTGTACTATAAGTATAAACCATGTACATATGTTCTACCATCCTAACATAACTAGAGAATGCTAATATTTCTCAGATATAAGCGTGATGAAATCAAAATCCAAGCATGGGAATCTCAGCAGAAGGCAAAACTAGAAGCAGAGATGCAGAGAATAGAGGTATTGCATCTTTACTCAGCACAATTGTTCTATCTTTAACTCTGGAACCTTTACCATTGTTCCTGTTTAATTGTGTAATGTAACTGGTGCAGTGAGCTCCACTTATTAATTCTTTATCCGGCGATTGGAACAGTCTTGTAAATTATTCTTGCTTGACCTCTCTGTTAATTGTGTTTCATACTTTCCAAAGATATGTTTTTATAATATGGAGGGTTGTGTAGATGGAAACTTTTATATGTCATAACTAATTTAAGAGGACCTCTTGTTAGGCCCAAGTTGAACAAATGAGATCACAAGCTCAATCCAAGATGGTAAAGAAGATAGCATTAGCTAGGCAAAGATCCGAAGAGAAACGAGCAGCAGCTGAAGCCAAGAAAAATCAAAACGCAGAAAAAACCGCGGCTCAAGCAGAATACATCCGCCAGACTGGACGAATGCCATCATCTCATTACATTTGTTGTGGTTGGTTGTCATAAACCAGAGAACATACAGAGCAGAAGACATTGCTTTTTCATGCAACGGAAGTGACCTCTTGTATGTGTTCGGGACACACCATGCTTCAAGGAGTGCTGTTGTGTATGCTAATCAAATTTGTATCTACAGAGCAACCACAGTGTGTTACTTGTTACATGAAGTGAATTTTTCAAAAGATGCATATATCTTCCATCATTGTTTGCACGCCTTCTAAGCTCTCTTCCCTACTTTCTGACAGAGATTTTTTTTTTGGGGGGGGGGGGGGGGGGGGG